AAAACTGGCCTCTGAGCCTGGTCCCGGGGCCGGCAGAACTGTTGGGCGTCCTGTCTCGCCAAGGTGGCGGGTCAGCGGCGCAAGGGAGCCACCTTCGGCCATGACTAGCGCATCGCCAACTGCAGTGGATCCAAATGCACGGTGAGCAGCAGCCATGCGCAAGACCTCCTGTTCCTGCGACGGAGTCCAAATAGGCCCTAGCGCACGCAGAGCCTTTTCGACCTGTGCAGCAGTGGAGTCGGAGGGGTGCTCGGCGAGGATGGACTTCATCTCTTCCGACGCGAGCACGGTGTCTTCGTCCAGCCGCTGGCCCAAAGCTCGGACCTGAGCTAGCAAGCCCACAGTATGCTGCCCTAACAGGCAAAACCACTGTTGTAAAGCGCCAGCCAGGTCGATTTTGGCTCGGAGATTGCCAGCCAAGCGCTTGGCCAATCGGTTGGTGGCGTTTGAGCGCCGCTGCAAACTCTGTTCTGCCGTGACATCCGTTGACACAAGGGGCGCAGGATTCCATAACTCCTGTGTAGACCGCGTAGATATAGATTGTACCGCCTGAACGACAGTAGAGGGGAGCCCAAATTCCACCTTGCTCGGCTGGACTTGTCCATCTCCCTTGCTTTTCCCCTTGTTGGGAGTCCTGGCCTGGGATGCTGCAGCATTCCCTTTCGGAGGCATGCTTCCGTGATGAGATGCGAGGAGCACCCTCGCTGTAACACTGCCTTTCCGGGCCTGCACTCTTGCACGAGCGCGGGCTCGGCGCTTGCGTCTGTGCCAAGGCGGGCTCTTCGGCCTCTTTCCTCGACACTTCGTCTTGACCAATCCACACCAACCAAAATCCCAGCAATACCAAGGGTACGATGGGCCGGAAGTTGCGGGCAGTCATAAACTGAAATATGAATTCCCAACCGAACACCAGTTGCAGCCTGGGAATACGTCCGCCAATTTAACAGCAGGGACGTGGGACACGCAGTCCGGGGCAGGGGCACAAAGGCCCAGGAAACCACCAATGCCAGAACTCCACTGGCAGGCCGGCCCTTCAGAGGGCAGAGCGGTCGCGGACGAGTCCGCTGGGGTCTGGTATGGCGAGGGCAGCTACGAAAACTCCAGGTCGGAGACACTAACCGCCAACTCGCCTCGAGCCGAGACGCCTGACAAAGAGCACCCGGAATCCTACAACCCTACATTCAGACACCCTGAAACCCGTTCTTTCCATCGCTTCTTGCAGAGGCCGAAGACTTACGCTAAACTCCTTATGGATCCCTTGTAGAACCCGTGGAGGAACCCTCAAGGGAACCCCTCAAGTTCGGAAAGGAGCCCCTCTACCCCAAATCCAAAGCGTTCAACCCTCTAAGCCCTACACCCTAAATCCGAAATCCTCAACGCTAAACCCCAGACCTAATCCTACACCCCAAATCCTGCACCCCCAAACCCAAACCCTGAATCCCTAAACCCCCAACCCTAAACCCTGAACCGTACTTGAAGGATCATGAGACTTAGTAACTAGGGCTATAAATAAGCTAACTATACGTAAAATTACTTTAATCCCCAATTAGGGTACCTGTAACCTTACTTACGAAGTCCCGTGAGTCCTTGAAGTAGACCCTAAACCGGAAACTAAAACCCAATAGATCCTTTTACGGAACCCAAGAGATGCCTTTAAGGAGCCCTTCAAGACCCCTTACTTGGAGGATCATGGGACTTAGGGTTATAAGTGCCCTAATTAGGGTTATAAGTAATTATAGGTATAGCTACCATGATTTACAACCCTAGTTACTAACTCCCATGATCCTTTAAATACCCTAAACCCCTATAGATCCCTCATAGAACCCCTTTAAGGAGCCCTTTAAAGTTACTAACTCCCATGATCCTTTAAGTACTAAGCACTGCCCCCCGGACACCCGAAGAGGCCGAAGACCAACGCCTCGAGCGCCTGGCAGCGCAGCGCCGGGAGGCGCAGACGAGGTTGCTGCAGCAGGCCCGGGGTTTCGGGTGTAGGGGGGCAGTGCTAAAGGGCTCCTTAAAGGGATCTATAGGGGTTCCTTAAAGGGTTCTATTATAGGGGGTTCGGGTTTAGGGTTTAGGATTTTGGGGTCTAGGGTTTTGGATTTTGGGGTTTAGTGTTTAGGATTTTGGGGTCTAGGGTTTAGGATTTTGGGGTTTAGGGTTTAGGATTTTGGGGTTTAGGGTTTTGGGGGTTTGTGGGCCGAAGTTTCGGGTGTAGGGTTTAGGGTTGGTTAGGGGGTTCGGGGTTTAGGGGATTTAGACTTTCGTGTTTCGGGGGTCCTTTTGTAGGGTGTTCGGGGTTTAGGGGATTTAGGGTTTCGGGGGTCCGGGGATTTAGGGTTGCGGGTTTAGGGGGTCCGTTTCTAGGGGGTTCGAGGATTTAGGGGATTTAGGGTTTCGGGTTTAGGGGTCCGTTTGTAGAGGGTTAGGGGGTTCGGGGTTTAGGGGATTTTGGGGTTTCGGGTTCGGGGTTTGGGGGATTTAGGGTTTCGGGTTTAGGGGTCCGTTTCTAGGGTTTAGGGCCAGTTTAGGGGATTTAGGGTCCGTTTCTAGGGGTTAGGGGCTTTAGGGTGTCCTACAGCCGGGCTTGACGTTTCGAATGCCTGGGAGAGAGAGAGGGTTTAGGGGTTTGGGGGTTTCGGGTTTTGGGGTTTGTGGGCCGGGGTTTCGGGTTTGTGCCTGTACTGTAGGGATGATTAGGGTGCCTTGAAAGGTACTATGTGGTACTTTTAAACAGGGTCTAGGATTTAGGAGTTCAGGGTTTCGGGGGTCTAGGACGGATTTAGGGTTTCGGATTTGTGGTCTAAGGTTTAGGCTTTGGGATTTGAGGCTTAAGGTTTAGGATTTAGGGTTTAGGGTTAAGGATTTGGAGTTTAAGGTTTTGAGTTTAGAGTCCGGGCTTGGGGCATCATTGGGCACCTTTTCGAGGAAGTCGTCGAAAACCGGCTCCGCAGGGCGGGCGCCGCCAAGCCATGAACCCACCGGCTTTCACCGCCGTGTTGTGCATCCATTGCAGTCGTTTCCTCACCGACTGCTGTGGTTCACCTTCTCTTCTCCCGACAGGTGCTGTGAGCGACGCATTGCTCTCGCTAGGGAGTTGCTGAACACGTGGAAGTGAATGCACGTAAAGTGAAGCATCGATTCCAAAGTGCACTGCAGGACACAGTCAAATCCGGACGCTGCTCTCGCAGGTTGTACTGGTTACTCAAGTGTGCAAGTATCCTGTGGAAATCAGACGTGCGAGAGAACGAGCGCCTCAACAAAATGGTTGCTCTCCTACGAGATCGATGCCCCAACTGCAGTTTGGACCTCCGCAGTGCGGGGGTGGGCCTCAACCCAATGCCAGTCTCACTAGCGAATCATGCCCTTGACCGCCGCCATGAAGACCATGGTTGAAGCTTTTGCCGGTGAGTCTGCTCCAATCGACACCCGGTCATGTGGCCGTAACGCTGTTAACGCGGTGATTATCATGCGTTCTTTGGCCGGAGCCGAAAGCGAGAGCAACAGCGGATCGATGGATCTCTGTAGCAGGGAACTGAAGCAACTTGACGAGGGTGGCCCACACAGCTACGATCCAAAGCGCTTTTACCGGGTGGGATTTGCTCAAACTAGGAATGGCCTTGGCATTCAACCACAACAACACTTGGTATATGATCGACGGGTCATATTGGGATTAGCTCCAGAGCCCTTCGTCTCTCATCATTTTCTCAGAAACTCTCATCCTTCATTTTGGCAAAAAAGATGTATTTCCTCAAATCATAGTAGGCATCCGAAATAGTGCTGGGCCGAAAAAAGTCTACCTGGGAGCTCTGTGTCTATGGTTTCGAACCTTCAGGGTTTAGGGTTCACGGTTGTTTAAAGTTTTTAGATCAGGGTCTAAACCTATGGAAGTCTTAGTGTTTCCATAGGTGTCAGGAGCAAGCACCATCACAGAACAGGGCTTAGGGTTGAGGTTCTACGGATTATCGATGACTCCGAAGCCAACCCCAAACCTTTTGCCCTGAAGCCTCAACCCTAAACTCCAAAACCTCTATAGATTCCCTATACATCCCTTCAAGGATCCCTTCAAGGAATCCTTAACAGAACCCTTGTAGATTCTTTTTACACCCCCTAAGGGAGTCCCTAAAGGCATACTGTAGCAGACCCGTAATATAAGGGCGTTAATAATTAGAAGAGGGTTTTGGGGTATATGATACCATGGTTACAATAAGGGTCCCCCAAAATAGCATAGGTATTTATTAAGGCCCCTACATTATATCCTTCAAATACCCCTCAAATTAATCCGTATAGACCCCTTTAAAGGAGCCCTTAAACGAACCCCATTCTAAGCATTAAGACCCCTACATTAGATGACTCCGAAGCCCCACGTGCGCACGCATGCGTGCGAAGGGGAGGCCCTAAACCCTCGACCTTATACCCTAAACCCTCAACCCTAAGCCCTAAACCCTAAACCCTCAACCCTAACTAAGCCCCCCTAAACCCTCAACCCTAACTAAGCCCTAAACCCTAAACCCTCAACCCTAACTAAGCCCCCCTAAACCCTCAACCCTAACTAAGCCCTAAACCCTAAACCCTCAACCCTAGGCGTTACGGCTCCAGGTGCAGTTAGAGCCTGGAACCGCAGACCCCGCGTGGCACTACGTGCCCGCCAGCGACCTCTTTCGCAGGGAGCGATTGAGGATTTTGAGCCCTGAGGCACTGTACCCTTGTGGAGGTGCTTCAGGAAGATCCCCACTTCGAGTGGCTGGATACGCGGCTACGACCATATATGAGAGTGGCAGGCTGGTTCATCTTTTGGTTGAGCTGGCTTGCTGTCCATCACCACGCCGTACGAAGAGGCGTGGCACCGCCGAAAGAGGCGCAAGAGGACCGCTTCCCGCACCCTGCTCCGCAACGTGGTCAGTGGGGTGGTCTCGCCCAGGCACCCTTCCGTGCCTGCAGCACTACAAGAGCTCCGCTACCATCACTCCCGCAGCAGCTTACCACAACAAGTTGCAGCCATGGCCAACCAGGTGGTTTGGAAGTGCCGACCATGTGGCCGCACGTGTGGAAAGACGGCGGAGTTCTGTGCTCAATGTGGCCAGCACTGGTCCAAGGTAGCCGAGGGCTATACCGGTCAAGGCTGGCGACACGGCTGGAGATCCGAGGCAAGCGACGGGCAATACCCGCAGTCGCCCCGCCGGAGATCCCCTCGCAAGCGTCCGCCCAAGGGGCCCGGGCCCGGGCAGAAAGGCGGGAAGCAGCAGGGACAGCCACAGCCGGCCAAAGGCGGCAAAGGTGGCAAGTCCGAGCCATCCAGACCCTCGCTGGACTCCTTGCCTGCACCTCCGCCAGCTCCAGTGGTTGTGGGGCCCAAGACTGCTACCACTCCGGCCCCCGCATCTGGGGTGCCGTCAGCAGAGCGGGCCCAGCTCGAAGCTTTGACAGGCTGCCTCTTTGCAGCCAAGGATGCCTTGCCTGCGGAAGTCAGGGAGACTCTGGAACGCCTGCAGTTGGTGGAGACACAATCCACGGCCAAGGACCTCCACAAAGCAGTGGCGGCCCAGTCACAGGCGAAGAAGCAGCTTCTACACGTGCAGGCTTCCAGGGCGTCCTACTTAGAGGCTTGGCATACCTATGTGGACAAAGTGTCCAGCCTCTTGCAGACACAACTCAACGAGCAAATCGAGCAACTTACGGCTTTCGACGAAACAGAGCTACAGTGGACTACGGCTCTGGAAAAGGCGTCCATGGACCTTGCACGCCTTGCAAGATCCTCTTCGAATCCGGCCGAGCAACTCGAGATGGAGTGCGACGAGGAGGAGGACCACCTGGTCGAAACGGACATCCGGACGGAGCGCGAGCTCTCGCAAAGGCGGGAGAAGCAGCTACATGCATCCCGGCAGCTGGTGGCTTCTATCGAGTCGGTACGACTCAATGCTCAGGAACAGCTCCAGCAGCATGGAAGGGAAGGTTCACGGACGCCCAGACGGCGCAAAGCGGATGTGGACCTCACCAAGGAAGAGAACCTCGAGGATCGACGCGAGGCCGGGCCTGCCGATTCAGGACAGGATGGTGGCGGCAGCAAGGATGGCAAGAATGGCGAAGGTGCTGTTCGGAAGCCCCCTGGCTGAGCCCGTGTACGAGCCTAACGGGACTACACGGGCGGTGCCCTCTGGGTCACTCTGTGGCCTTTGAGGAAGACTTCGTGGACGAGTGGTGTGCCAGCTTTTCTGGTGCAGCCTTGGCGCATGAAGTATCTCTTTTTGACCTGGACCTGGAAGTGGAGCATACTTTCTGGACAGATCCGCGACACGCCGCCGGGCAGTATGACTTTGAGGAGGCAGCTTGGGATACGCTGCCGACTCAGAGCTGTGACTATGAAGCTCTGGAAGTTTTCTTCACGGAGAGCTACGCCGACGCCCACTGCCAACGCGAAGGTCAGACAGTCCTTTCGGGCACAGTGCTAACTTCTCGGACGTTCCGAGTTCCCACCCTGCACATGGCCAAGCAGGTGGTAGAGCTTGACGAAGTTCGAGGAATTAGCCAAGATGCTCTTGAAAGTGATTCTCTCATCAAGCGCGTCTATACAGCTGAAAGGATAGTCTGTACAGGACGTAGGCCGCAAGTGCTGCCCGCTGTACATAGATACCGCCACTGCATGCCTTTGCATCCCACCTTCGATGCCTGCTCTCACTTACGCGGTGCCAATCAGCGCGCCCGCGCCCTATCCTCCGCTCTTGCATTCTTCCCGAGCGTCGAGGTTCGTGAGCGCTACAAGGTCGGTTCCGTGTCGAACCTTGGCGCCAAATGCAATGTGCACAATGATGCATCAACCGAGCTGCCCTGCGCATCAACACCAAATCCCCTCCGGTGCTACAAGGTCGGTTCCCTGTCGAACCTTGGCACCATCTGCTCTGTTCCGTCAGGGCAAAGTGAGCTGCACATCAAAAGCCTCGATGACAAGCATGCTTCCACCTGCCGAGCTGACAGCTGGCCCCAACTTACACCTGAGCGCTGCAAGGTCGGTTCCGTGTCGAACCTTGGCGCTGCCAGCCCTCGGATTAATGACGCTGTGCTCCGGACACACTCCAGCACGGCTCCTATGCGTGCAAATGCCCAATTGCCCTGCGACACAACGCAGGATCTGTCACAGCGCTACAAGGTCGGTTCCCTGTCGAACCTTGGCGCCTACTCTCCTCCTATCGCAGCTCCTGCATCGCCTGCATTCTCTGTGCCGACTGCGCGCTCTATGCCCAAGGCCAGCGCAATCACCGACCTGCATATGATTATTGCAGCCCAGGTCCAAATTGGACCAGAATGGTTGGCAGGCCCCTTCCTGAACACTGATGCAAGGAGCCTAACGCGCATGCAACTCGAGCCTGCCGCGGCAGATCGTGACACCCGCTACACGATCCTCGAATACCGCAGTGACACCATTGTGCGACGGTCCATGCCCGCATGGACTCCACTTGAGTATGTTGCACATGCTATCAGACAGGTGCCTTACCGAGTTCAAAGGGCTTACTTCCTCGAGGTGCCACTGCCGGGCTATCCATGCCCCCAGATCCTTCTCACTCCTGCTGGTCTGCCTCTTGGGCATCGGACCCTGCCAATCGACCTTCGACCACTTCAGGGTCTGCTGCATGTGGTTAGAGTTCCCTGTGGCCTCGAAACCCCGGCACTATGGGATACTCTGCAAGACAAGGGTGTTGAAGACCTCGATGCCCTGGCAACGGCCACCCGCGATGGCCGGCTCACACTGACGGACCAAAATGGCCGCATTGTTCCACAAATTCGACCACTGCCTGAGCAGCAATGGTTGATAGCACCAGGCATCGAGGAGGACTTGCCACCTAATATTGTTCTGCGCTATGTCGGTGGCGGGCCGTTGACTTTTCGGTTACCCAGGCCGCCACAGCCGATAGAGCCGCCCAGGCATGCCACAGCCGCTGAAATTGAAGCTTTACGTGCTGCCGAGCATCCTGGGCCTGCGTGGCCCGACACCACTTCCACGACCACAGCCATGCGCGCTGAGCAAAAGACCGTTGAAAGGCCTGCCTCAACACCTCCTGGAATACCCGAGCCAGACATCGAGCCACCCTCTCTACTTCAACGGGTCGCGGCCCAAGCTGATGAAAAGCTTGGACAGACTAGTCGTCCACAAGAAGTGCCCTCCATTCTGCCCGGGTACCTCGAGCGCGACTGTCTCCAGCAGGAAAGCGTCGATGTTTACTCATGGGGCGCGACTGCAGGCGCGCCCAATCATGCTTACACCATCTTTGATGTTGTCAGACATGCCACGACTCGGCCACGCCCCAGAGAAGGCACTCTGACGGCGATCATCCGTGCAGCAGTGCTGGAAGCGCCTTTCCCTGTCGGCGCTGTGCAGGTGCTCATGAAGGGTGTTCAGGGATTGCCACAGCCGCAATTGGTTTTGCACCAAAGGAACCTCCCTAACGGACAAGCCCCCATACCATGGGATTTACGTCCGGTCGGGGGTGACCTTTACACAGTGAATCATAAACCACAAGAGTCCCTGCAGGACGCCGTTGATAGACTTCCACCAGTGCTGCCTGCGGCAACCGCTCCGAGTGTCTGTGACTCGCTTGTGGCAAGGCATTATGCAGTCCTTGATGCCGCTGGCATTATTGGACATACCATCCCGCAGGTCCTCAGTGAGGTGCAGCATTTTCTTGTTGAGCCCGCCTTTTCAGGCTTCGCAAGCATAGGCCTGCCACCTCCGTGGGATGCTTCACCCTCTCCGTTCTTCTGGCCGACTGATGGAGCACCATCGACCACATCCACCACATCCACAAGCCCAAATGAGCCTCCCAGTTCCTTCCGGTTCACAATGCTTTGCGGCCCGCACTCATACAGTGCAGTGGTGCAGCCGCCCTGCTACCAAGCAGATGCTATCCTGGAAAGACTCATCCGGGAAGTGCTCGCCCTGAGCTACCCGGCCCACGGGCCACTCCGGGTCATGCTGGCGGCCGGTCAACCTGCAGTAGTCGACAATCAACAGGAGGTTATATTCCTCCTATGCAACTCTGTGTACGACCGTACCGCAACAGTCGTTGTCGACGAACGAGCCGGAGGACACTCCCTCCATACCTACCACGTCGCACCACACACCATGTGCGAGAGCCTTATCGCGCCCGAAACGAGTGGTAGAGGGATCTCTGTCGTAGTCAACGGTGCCCCAGCTAGGCTCACCCCTAAGTGGCCAGTGCAAGGAGACTACATACAGTTTGATGAAGGCCAGGGACCCCCTGCGTTCACACCCACTAGCTGGATTTTACGCCAGCTCGAGGTCCTTCTCCCGTACACCTGGCCACTGCATGTCGGAGACGGTGTGTACTCCCTTGATGTGCCGGCTTGCGCCCGACTCCGCCGACGCGCACAAGGAACATTCCACCCGCCAGAGGGCGGCTGTTTGGTCCTTGGCATTCACCACGGCCCTGTCGCCTTCAATCTTGGACAACCAGTTGTCCCGTCTGTGCCAGAAATGCAAGCAGGCCTTGCTCAACTTGATGACTGCCCACCAGCCATGCTGGAGACATACCACACCAGAGCGGTCAGCATCAGCGAAAGGACGGTGTTCGTATCAGCGCCTACGCAATACATGTACAGGACGGTGTTGGCACCCTGCCTCCCGTTCCCCAATCATTACATTGCCTACGCTGTACTACCTGGAGCCATCGAGCTCAATCTGATTTTACCGCAAGGAGTTGCCTACCGCAGGCCTAGGCGCAGACACCAACATGGTGACATCCTTGAAATCTTTCTCCTTGCAAGATGTGTATGGCCCTACATTCGATTTGTCGAATATGGCCTGCCGCTACCACAGGCAGCGCATGCTCCACAACCGCAACGACCTCCATACAACGATGGAACCGCGCTAGTCCAAATTCCAGATTATACTAGCCGGCATATGCAGCGCTGCGCGCGGCTACAACAACTGCATCCTGAGGTAGACTGCCCATGCATCGAAGGTGCTTTCCGATGCAGCGAAGAGGCCGATGCTGAGCCCAGTGCCACCGGTTTTCCCTTCCAAGTGCCGACCCCATTCGGCAGACGTCGCATTAGTTTAAAGCCTCAAGACAAACTTGAGTTCAGTCCAGGTACACTTTGGGCTCATAACCTATGCGAACCCGGACCCGGTGCAGAGGCTCCCTCAAAGCCTGACCCCACCATACTGACGCTTGACCGGCTCATTGCACCACGCGCCGAACGTCGAGAGGCCGGGGGACTCCTCACTGGAGTTTCTGCAGATATGTTCCCATTCCTGTTTGAGCAATACGGTCTTGCACTCTTCAGTCCTGAGTGGCAGCAGATCCCTGATGTGCCATCCACCACACGGCAATTTCTTGATGGTCTCCGGACTTTACCCTCAAGTGCCAAACCAGCCGCCATCCAATTTTTTGTCGATGGGTCTTTCTTCCCTGCCGAGCACGGACCCATCAAGTGTGGATGGGCCATCTGTGCTCTCGCATACCACCAACAAGAATGGCAATGGGTTGGTTGGCTAGCCGCAGGTACTGATCCGGATGGGGACCACAGCTCGCTCTGTGAACCGGTCAAGTCCTCATACGAGACCGAATTGTCTGCTCTTTGCTTTGCATTGACATGTGCAGTCAGCATGCAAGTGCCTTGCTTGTTTGGGTTCGACTCAACGTCAGCTGCAGCAACCGCCGCAGCTGATGCTGTCGACAAAAACGGGTCAGCGCTAGCTTCAGCCTGTGCATCGCTTGTGCATTTGCTGGAACTGCAGGGATGCGCCCCACTCTGGCATCATATCCGTTCCCATCAGGGGCATCCTCTGAATGAGTTCGTTGACGCCACAGCCAAGTTCGCTGCAAAGACGATGACCTCCTGCCATCTCCCCACAGCCCTTTCGGAAGCACAGCACGATGGTACCCTGCCCTGGATCTGGCTCGCTACTGGTCTGCACCCTTCCGTTCCTCGGATTGATCAGAGCGGGATACTCCGAGATGCTGCACAGCTCCAAGGGGATGCCCATACGCTTCACTCTGTGTTGCCTAGCCCAGCGGCTACGAAGGGCCAGGTCTCTTTTGACTTCCAGGCTGTAACCTATAACTGCCTGACTCTCAAGTCACAGGCGCAGCAGGAGAGCCTGGCCGAGCAGTTCAACAAGCACCACTGCAGCGTCATAGGTCTTCAGGAGACCAGGACCACCCTCAAAGAGCGCAAAGCCAACCGCCACTTCCATGTTATTGGAGGCCCAGCTGAAAATGGGCAGCTTGGGTGCCAACTCTGGTTAACACGGAGCAGGCCAGTTGCTTTTTGCGGCAAGACCCCCATCACATGGGACCCCACCACCTTTTGTGTGCTTCTGGCCACCCCGCGGCTTTTGCTTGTGACCGCCAAGGCAGCTGACCAAACCTTTGCGTTCCTTGTTGGCCACAGTCCCACTGCCAAGGCTGGTCAAGCAGCCTGCGCACTTTTTTGGCAGCACATGAACTCAGCATTGCGACGCATCCCGACGAATTCCATTCCCCTTGTTCTCGTTGATGCCAATGCTAAAAACTTTGGTGCCCGGGGTGACCTTGATGAAATAGCAGAGCCTCATCATAATCATGAGGGTTTTGCCAACTTAGTCGCAAGTCATGCCCTCACCACCTCGGGGCACGTTGCACATGACGGGCAGGAATTCGTTTCTTGGACAGGCCCTGACGGCCAGACAGCCTGCATTGACTATGTTCTGTGCCCCACACAGCTCGCCCAGGGCATGTGCATACTGGGCCCTTTGCCAGGCTTTGTTGGTTATCTCGATCATGACCACAAACCGATTGCCACCCAGATCCGATGGCAAACTTCTGGCAGTGTCCGTCACCCCAATGTGCGCCTCAAAGGCGACGGCCTCCACACAGCCGCTGGCCGACAAGCCCTCCGGCAGGCCTATCGAAACATGCCGCCAGTTCCGTGGGAGGTTTCCGTTGATGAGCACCTGCGGCGCATCAACCAGCATGTCATTGACAACCTGCAGCAAGTCTGCGTTCGCTCGGGCAACAAGCCAAGGGACCGGACTACTTCTGACCATACCTGGGCACTCATTCGCGACAGACGCCATTTACGGCGAGAAGTTCACCGCACCCGTGGTACCAGCCTCGCGCCGGAGTATCACACCATGCTTGGAGAACAGATCAAAGACCTCGGTCGACTCATCCGAGCTGCGGCCAAAAATGATGCGGCGGTCGCGATCCGAAAAGCCTTTGACTCCGCGCGCGAGTCTGGAATTGACACGCTCCACAGGCTCTGCCGCAGCATCACCAAATCTGGGCGAAGATACCGCGCGCCTAGTCTCTGCCCAGCGCTGCGTGCCAGGTCCGGCCAGGTTGAAGAAGATTCCTACAAGGTGCTCGGAGACCACTTTGCCGAAGCTGAGTTAGGCCAGCATTGTGCTCCGACTGAGATCGCCACCCGCGAGCCGCTGTACGAGCCACAGGACTTTTTGCTTCCAAGCGCGTTCTCAGTAGCCTCACTCAGCCGCGCTTTCGCCAGCCTGACAGCCAAGCGTGCTTCCGGAGGATCCCAAATCCCTGTTGAGGCCTACAAATTCGCACCCCTCGCCGCAGCGCATTGCCATGCCCCCTTGCTTCTCAAATGCCTGCTGCGCCGTCAGTGCCCAATCCTCTGGAGGGGAGGGATCGCTACTGCGATCCCGAAACCCCTCAAGCCCGCAGATTCTGTCGAAGGATGGCGCAGCATTCTCTTGCTCGAGGCAGGAGCAAAGGGAATAGCGAAGGCTATCAGAAACGACCTTCTGCAGGGATATAGCCAGCTCCGTCAAGCTGGCCAGAGCGGGTCCATGCCAGGACAACCGCTTCAAATTTCCATGGCACATGTAAGAGGCCTTGTGAAGCGAATCAAGGCGTCAGGCCAAAGCGGGGGCATTTTGTTTGTAGACGGCAGAGCAGCATTCTATTCCGTGCTCCGCGAGGCTCTCCTCGGCACAGACAGTGCGCAGCCACAACAGTTTGTTGAAAAGCTCGCTGAGCTCGTTTTCCACACCAGGGAAAAGCAATCTGACTTTATTCTTGCTGCGCTTGGTCCAGGGCTCCTGCAACAGACCGGCGTTCCCCTTGCTGTGAGAAGATATGTTGCGGCTGGTTTGGACCGCACGTGGTTCAGTGTTGGGCAGTCGCCGCGACACGTCTATGAAACACGTTGCGGCTCTGTTCCGGGGGCACCTCTTGCTGATCTGTATTTTCAGATCATCTTCAGCCAGGTTCTTGCTAATATCTATGCGGGGCTTGAAGAAAATGGATTGATCGCAAACTGCCCTGGCACCTCAGCTTCCTCACAGCTCAGCCTGCCCATCCCCACATGGATGGACGACATCGCCGTGCCAGTCCTAGCACCCAAACCCTGCCAGCTCCTTGATCGGGCTGCGCAAGCGGTACGTGTCGTCGACACGGCCATGCATGCTGCAGGGATTCGGCTCAATTTTTCGCGAGGCAAGACCGAATTCCTTGCAGTGATTGGCGGTGAGGGTAGCAGACAACTCAGACAAGAATGGTTGTGTGCCAACGGTGCGACTTTTACTGTACCCTTGGAGACCGCACCCATTACCGTACACCTTACGGGGAGCTACATCCATCTGGGGTCTGAGATTGCCTTTTCTGGCAAGGACGGTCCTGACATTTTCAGACGGCGAAGCCTTGCTCGTCGCCTCACAACTGACCTGAGCAAGCTCATGCACAACAGCTGCCTGTCGACTGAGGAAAGACTCAACATGCTCATCGCGATGCCATTGGCCCGCTTCCGGCACGGTGCTGGACTCTGGTCCCTTGAGTTCACTCAGGACCAGCACGCATACCAGAGCGCATATATCGAGCCCTTTCGCAAATACTTCCGTGCACTCACCGGCATCACTTCGCAAGGGCTTGATGACCACCAAATCTGCCAATGCCTTGGCATTTTAACTGCAGCTCAGATGCGCGAAGTTGACTTGACGCGCCACGTCGGATGGTTGGCAGCAGACGGCTCCTCGGTCCTCCGTGAACTCTGGCTCACATCAGGACCTTGGTTTCAAGAAGCGCAGAGGGCAGTCAAAGCTTGCAGCGCGCACCTTGGCATTCGTCCCACCACTGCATGGGAAGCACTCCTCGCTAAGCCTTGCCTTGCTAAACAGTGGGCGCGCAGCTATGCTCGGCGATGCCGCAAAATACAGCGCCAATTGCAACCCGCCGCACTGCGTCGATGGCAAACATACCATGATGCGCAGCAGCAAGGAGCCTTTTTCTTGCATGTCCGGGAGCGCGCCCGCACAGTTGGCCTCACCTGCCCTGAATGCCACTGTCACTTTGACAACCCGGCTGCGCTGGGCTCCCACCGCAGTAAGGTACATGGTGTTGCCGCACGAGCCACACAAGTTACCTTTGGCACCCGCTGTGAGGTATGCTCTACAGAGTACTGGAGTACTCGACGCCTCCGCGAACACCTCAGGCGAAGCCCAACATGCCTCAAAGTCTGGGAAGCAGCAGACAGAGAGGTAGAGGCCCCTGCCAATGAAGCTGGACATGAATGGCTGCCCTCAGCCAAAGCTTGCGGGCCTAGACCATGGTGGGCAACCTTGCAGCCTGAAGACCCACCAGAGCCAGGCCCACAGGCAGCCCTACCCAGTGCTGCGATTTTTGCCAAATGGCTTGAAGGCGAGAGCTCCAAGATACCGGCCAGCCAATTGCTGGATCTTGTTGAGAAGGGAATAAGATTTCGACTCAATGACGACGACCTCCCCCTCGCCTCTCTTCATATGTCAGCTGCCACTTACAGCCTCGTTCAGCATGCTATGTGGGCAGCACAAACGATTCTCGCGCAGAGCGCAGGATCACAGGAGGATTCCTTCTGGCGCGTTTCGGTACAGGGAATGCGCGTTATTTTCTGGCCGAACGGTGTGCGCACCGCGGCCACGAACTGGTCGGAGCTCCCCACGGAGTGGGCCTTTGACTAGTCGGACCTCTGCAAGACTGTGTGCACTCTACGAGTTCAGCCAGCATGCCCAAAAAAAACCCTCAACCCTAACTAAGCCCTAAACCCGAAGCCCTAAACCCTTAACCGTCGCATGCGTGCGAAGGAGAGGCTGAAAGACCTGGCTGTGGCGGATGCGCTTCGGGCTGCGGAGGCCGAATAGGGCCTTTCAAGGCCTCGGTTTGGGGGTTTAGGGGATAGGGGATTTAAGGTTTGGGATTCTTGGGGATTTAGAGGTTTAGGGTATAGATTTGGAGGATTTAGGGGTTTAGGGTTTAGAGGTTCAGGGGTAGGGGCTTGGGGTTTACTTTGGGTTTAGGGGTTTACGGGTATTCAGGGTCTAGGGTTTAGGAGGTTTAGGGGTATTTAGGGTTTAGGGTAGAAAGCGTTCCATAGGGGCTCTGGGTGGTAGTGTTTAGATTTGGGGCTCAACTAGGTTTGGGGCCAATAAATCCTACGAGCCGTTAGACCCCAGTTCCTAAGCATTCGGGTTTAGGGCTTAGCTGTGGGTGAAGGTTGGCGTTCCCTGTGCTCTGAAACCTTTAACCTTGAACCCTTTGGGAGTTTATTTAAGCTTCTTCGACAGTCTGGGCTGGGGATTCCTCAGCTTCCTTCCTTCATGCAGCATCGCATTTTAATGCCCAGTGATCGGTTGGCGCATGACCTGCAAAGGTCCAGAATGAGAGCAGGATTGCAGCACTCTCTGCAAGGTGTTTTGCTTGCATGCGTTTCTGCATCTACACCCTCGCCATGCGCGCCGAGGGCCGCAAGGAGGAAAAAGACGCATGCGGCACCGGCAGCCGCCATCACGATCACGTAACGACAGCGCACACTTGAGGTGACGGCTCGCTTCGACATCGACGAGTTGTCATGTGCCCGAGCGTCGCAGATCTCGCTGGGCCACGGCTGGGTTTTGGCCGAAAGCCGAGTTCAAGCCAGGCATGATCTACGCGTACAACTCTGACGAAGTCGTGTCGGATCCGCCACTGCTGGCAGCTCCGATCCTGGAGAACTGCAGCGAGCATTCGGGCGAGACACCAAAGCCGGATCCTTTTAAGACCATGCCGTTTTTCCGCCCATTTTGACGGGGCCATGCTCGTCTCGCCGGGCTGAAGAAGATCAAGCGTGGATCTTCTTACTTCATAGGGTTTAGGGTTCCCTAAGGGTCCATGTACCCGTATAGCATATACTTTGGGCCTAATGTACCTATATAGGGAGTACTTTAAGGCCTATGTATATACTATATGAGTACATGGACGCTTAGGGGTTTATGGTTTAGGGAGTTTAGGGTTTAAGAAGGGTTTAAGGTGCTTAGAGAGGCTGCCCCCTTCTCATCCCTGGGCTACACTCTCGGTCCCAGGCACTGAACGTAAGAACTGCGAGTCCTCAACCCTACCCACCCAACGCCAAATTCTGATCCCCTAACCCTTGAACCCAAATCCTTAAGCCACCACGCTTCCCCAAGCCCAGGCACATCCTACACCCCAAAACCTCGACACCCTAACATCCAAACGCCCCAAAAAAGCGAACCAAATCCTCGAACTTGGTTCCCTAAGGGTCCATGTACCCGTATAGCATATACTTTGGGCCTAATGTACCTATATAGGGAGTACTTTAAGGCCAATGTATATACTATATGAGTACATGGACGCTTAGGGGTTTATGGTTTAGGGAGTTTAGGGTTTAAGAAGGGTTTAAGGTGCTTAGAGAGGCTGCCCCCTTCTCATCCCTGGGCTACACTCTCGGTCCCAGGCACTGAGCGTAAGAACTGCGAGTCCTCAACCCTACCCACCCAACGCCAAATTCTGATCCCCTAACCCTTGAACCCAAATCCCTAAGCCACCACGCTTCCCCAAGCCCAGGCACATCCTACACCCCAAAACCTCGACACCCTAACATCCAAACGCCCCAAAAAAGCGAACCAAATCCTCGAACTTTAAACCCCGACACCCGCACACCAAAAGCATCTCAGAGTTTAATTCTATACAGTGAATCCTAAGCCCTATAAGCCCTATAAGCCCTATAGAACCCTCATACGCCCTGTAAACCCTAACACCCAAACCCTAAAACCCTAAACCCCAAACCTTAAAACCCTAGACCCTAAAACCTTAAACCCTAAACCTCAAGGCCCTAAACCCCAAATCTTAAAGCCCTAGACCCTAAAACCTTAAACCCGAAACCCCAAACCTTAAAGCCCTAAACCCTAAAACCTTAAACCCTAAACCTCAAGGCCCCTTCTTCTCTGTAGGAGGCCGAGACCTCTGCGCAGCGGGCTCGTGAGGCACGGTGCGCTGCGGTGCTCTAGCCGCAGCTACACTTCGCTGGAGAAGCCGTTGTCGTAGCAGTGGTGGTGGTAGTGGTAGTAGTAGTACTAGTAGTAGTAGTAGTAGTAGTAGTAGTAGTAGTAGTAGTAGTAGTAGTAGTAGTAGTAGTAGTAGTAGTAGTAGTAGCAGTAGTAGCAGTAGTAGCAGTAGTAGCAGTAGTAGCAGTAGCAGTAGCAGTAGCAGTAGTAGCAGTAGTAGTAGTAGTAGTAGTAGTAGTAGTAGTAGTAGTAGTAGTAGTAGTAGTAGTAGTAGTAGTAGTAGTAGTAGTAGTAGTAGTAGTAGTAGTAGAGTAGCAGTAGCAGTAGCAGTAGTAGTAGTAGTAGTAGTAGTAGTAGTAGTAGTAGTAGTAGTAGTAGTAGTAGTAGTAGTAGTAGTAGTAGTACTGATAGCAACAATAATCAGAATAGTAGTTACTACTACTATTGTGAGTAGCAACATCAATAGTGAGAATGTTTGCAGTACTAATGACAGTATCAAGAAGAATATGAACACGAACATGATTAAGAATAGGGAAAACTACCAATAAGAATAATAAGCAAAAGAAACAGCAAATAACAATAACAATAATCGCCCAGCGGCTCCTTTATGCAAAGTCTGAACTCTCAGGAACGAGCAGCCTGCCTGGCGATTGCAGAGGAGGTGCCTGCTCATTTTTGCAGTGTTTCGGTTTAGAGGATAAGCTCGAGGGTTTGCTTAGCCTCCCTAAACCCTAAACCCTACTTCCTTAACCCCAAACCCTAACCCTAAATCCTGAACCCTAAACCTTAAATGCTAAACCCTAGTACCGCTATTTGAAGTACCTTTTGGGCTATAGGTAGGGCTTTCGATGATGGGTTGATTTTTGCAGCTTCAAACCTGAAAGGTTCAGGGTTTAGGGTGTGGGGGGTTTAGGGTTTCGGGTTCAGGGCTTAGGGTGAATTGAGGGTAGGGTTTAGGGCCTAGGGGTTTTCGTTGCGTCGAGTTTCGATTCAAAGGAAGGACTCCAGCAAGGCCAACACAGCTTGTACGCTTCGCCCGAGGCCTCAAGCGCGGGATTAAAGAACCCTTCGAGATCCTTGACAGAACCCCGAAACCCTAAACCCTGAACCCTAAACCCTGAACCCTAAACCCTGAACCCTAAACCCTGAACCCTAGAGAACTATAATCCCTAAAGGAAGCTCTACTACCACCCGCGGCCCCTAAGCCAAATTTCTTCAAGCCCTGAAGTCGAGGACCCAGGAGCCCTTGTAGATCCCAGGCCAAGTGATGAGTACTGCATTTCGTTTTGAGGGTCTGTAGGGTTTCGGATTTGGGGGTTTACCGTCTTTCGGGTTTCGGGTTGAAGGTTTTAGGGGTTTAGGGTACAGGCATGTTCCAGCAGCAACATGGATCTTGGCACCCTTGTCGCCCTCGCAGCCACAAGCCCCAAGCCCCAAGACCTCAAAACGCAAAGCCCCTACAATTATAGTATAATGGGCCCCGAAGCCCTGTTCTAATTATCAAGGCCCCTACACTATAGAACCCTATTATAGATCCCTTTTTGTAGCCCTTAAATGACCCCTTCAAGGGGAACCGTATTTAAACATTAAGCCCTAAACCCTACAGTAGCTGCCGTCGCAGGTTACTTGCCTTTCCCAGAGCCTGCATCTCTGTTCGCTGAGCGATGTGCAGGAGGAGCGGCTCTGTTTCTAACGCTTTGTCGAGGTTTCCTGTTTGCAGCTCAGGGTTCGTTTCGTGGCTCGGGTTTGGCCTCCCTATCCCTTTCAGACCTGGCCTAGCTGAAGCCTCCCAAGAACAACAGTGCGCAAGATTCTCTGTGGGTCGAGATGCTACAGCATGTAGGGTTCAGGGAAGTCCTTTTCGGGGTTGCGATTAAGACTTTCCGGATTCCCTTTCCGTTTTAACCCCGCCTTCAGCAGCCCCACGCACCGGAAGAGTTGTCATGGAGGCGCTTTCATAGTATAGACGCTTGAATGGTTACCCAACACTATTCCTTGGGTTTCTGCATATGGTTATCATATCATATGCCACACGAGCCCTATGTTAATATTTGAGGTCGTGCCATCTCTCAACTAGAATCACTAGAATGTTTGCCGGCATGCAGTGCTATAGGCGAAATTCCTCAGTTTGGGACACCAAGATCCTGCTTGTTTACGATGTAGACTCTGGGAAAAAACAGTGTGTATCGTATACTGCAGTCTACACCCCACACGGGGCAAACTTCAAACCCAATTCCCTTAACCCAAAGCCCTCCGCAACCCAAATCCCCAAATCCAGCAGCCTAAGCCCCACACGTCTAAACCCTAAACCCTAAACCCTAATGAGACCCAAATCATAAAACCCAATTCTTAAAGCCCAGTCCTATAGGCCGACTACAGTACTCGGTTTAAGAGGCCCTACTTGGAGCATCAAAGGACTTAGGAAGTAAGGGTTCTTAAAGGGCTCCTTAACGGGATCTATAGGGTTTTTAAAAGGGATCCATAGGGTTTAGGGTTTAGGGTACTACTTGGAGGATCAGGGACTTAGTAAGTAAGGTTATAAGTACCCGAATTGGGGTTATAAGTAGTTATAGGTATAGTTGCCATAGTTCATAACCCTAGTCACTAACTCCCTAGAACCCTTCAAGGAACCCTTGTAGATCCCTTTAAGGAGCCCTTTAAGGAACCCTGGTTACTAAGTCCCATGATCCTTTAAATACCCTAAACCCCTATAGATCCCTTATAGAACTCTTTAAGGAGCCCTTTAAAACTACTAAGTCCCGTGATCCTTTAAGTAAGCCCTAATGAGAGTCCCTCAGGACGTGGCGTTGGAAGATGTATCGGACCGGTGCTTGGTGGCCTCGGAGCGCACCAAGGTGCGGGGCGTTTGGGGCGAGTTTGTCCCTGTTGGTTGGTTGTCAAAATTATGGTTCCTTTTTGGGGTCCCTATTTGAAATACGGCACCTAATCGGGTACCCAAAAAGGGACCCTAACGTTGAAAACTACCTATATGGGTCTATAATATGAACTTCCAAAAAGTAGGTTATAGTAGTCTTAGGTAAGGTTTCCGAGATCTATAAGTTTTTCTGCGGCGTCGGGGGGGGCCTTGGAGAGATCTATCGGGGTTTCTGGTAGGATGTTGGGCTTACGGGTGTGGGTGTCGAGCCTTTTCGCGCTCTGCTATCCGGAAGACCTTTTGGCCGTACTTTTGGGGGCTTAGTCTTGGTGGCCTGGGTTGGGGTGGGGTTTATATACGGGCTTAGAGTTTTAGGGTTTAGAGTTTAAAGTTTAGGGTCCAGATCACTGCCTCAGCCCCACCTGCAAAGATCAGGAACGGAACCCTGAACCTGAGGTTTAAGGGTTTAGGGCTTTAGAGCTTTGTGATTTTATGGTTCAGGGTTCCCCCTTGACAAGAACCCCGAACAAATGCTCGAAACCACCCATGCCAGATGTTCGCCCTAAGCCCTTTACCCGAAGCCGTAAAGCCTTAAACCCTAAAGTCATGTCCCTAAACCCTAAGCCCTAAACCCCTAAACCTCGAACTCTAAACCCTAAACCCTAAAGCCCTAAAGCCCTAAACCCTCAACCCTTGGAGCCTGAATGTCCAACTAGAACACCGGAAATTCAGATCTACGAGCCTTAATCATTGGAAGTGTGTTCCTTTAAGGGTTTCCTTACGAGGCTGCTATATGGGATACTATACGAGCTACAACAGTGGTTTAGCGTAGGAGGCCTTACTCGTTAGAACAGGTTTGCTAGGGGTTCTAAAGTTTTTTCCTGGTTCTTGTTTACCATGGGTCTATTATATGCCTTAAATGCTTGGAATAGGTTTTTATAGTCACGTGAGGAACGTAAAGGAATGAGAATAAGTATTCAGGCACCTCGATTACAGTGTATCATCTTCAGGGTTTCTGCCATTCACTAAAATGGCCCTTGTGATATCTTATTTCCAGGCCTGCAGTTTAAGGGGGTTGGGTACGACTTCCTGCAAAAACATACTGTAGGGGCCTTAATAATTAGAGCAGGGTTTTGTGGCATATCATAGTATAATCATAATGAGGAACCCCCAAAACCCTATTCTAATTTTTAAGGCAATTTAGGCCCCTACATAACAGCACAAAGACCCCCCCCCCCCCCAAGCCAAACAGAGCCAAGCAATCCCGAAAGCCCCGCGAGGCGACACTCTGGGGACCAGTGGCAAAACTGCACAGAGTCAGAAGGGTCTGGGTCAATCTGGGCTAATATAGGGGCCTCAATAAATCGAAGAGGGTTTTGGGCCCCATTATACTATAACTATAATAAGGAACCCCCCCAAAGTAGTATAGGTAGATATTAAGGCCCCTGTAGTATCCCCAGATCTGAGGTTCAAGTCAATGCCTTGGGTTTCAGGTTCGGCGGTTGCAGTTTCAGCTTTCTGCTGTTTTCTAGCGCTCTGCCATGCTGGTTGTATTTCTTCTACCCTAAACCCTAAACCCTAAACCGGGCATCATGCCCTAAACCCCAGTCCTACAAGCCCGAGTTTTCTCTGTACCTTTCAAAGCGACCCTAAACATCCTTAGCACCTTTAAAGGAATCCTATATATCCCTATAGTAGCCGTTAAAGGGAACCTCAATATCCCTGTAGTACCGGGACAGGCCCAAACAAGTCTCCGCCGCAGCGGCCGCCCCGAGGAACTCCGGCGTCTCAGCGCTGAGCTCACGGGGCCCTCGAAGCCAAGCCGGGGGTCTTGGAGCCCTAGGGTTAAGGGTTTAGGGTTTAGGGTTTAGGGTTTAGGGTTTAGAGTTAAGGGTTTAGGGTTTAGGGTTTAGGGTTTAGGGCGTCTCGCCGCGCAGCGGCAGTATTTTCTATGTAGGATGGCGCCCCAACACTCCCAGGGGTGTGGGGGGGCGGCATATCGGCGTTCGAATGCGATTCCACCACCAAACAATCACACATTGGTTCCTCACCTTTTCCCACCCGCTGTGAGAATACACAGGCTTCCACCCAAAATATTGCCTTTTAGGGTTTAGCGCTTACGCCCTCAATTCCCACCTGCCCCTGGTCTGTCTTTTAAGGAAGGACGCACCTACACGCACCCCAAAACACAGGGCTCCGACAGCCAGAGAGGCCCAGGGGGGGCCAGGGGGGGCCAGGGGGGGCCAGGGGCCAGGGGGGGCCAGGGGGGGGGGCCAGGGGGGGCAAGGGCCAGAGAATTGCAAAAAAGACAGGAGCCCCCCGGTCCTTGGAATCTGCCAGCTGGGGAGCCCCTGGGCCGGCCTCTGGTGCCTTTTCTGAGGGGAGCCAAATGGAAATGACCACCAAGGGCTTTGCTCTTGAGATTCGAGGGAATTCCCTCTGCGAATATGGGCGCCACGCAAGGGGCCTAATGGCTTGGCTCAGCCCTAGGGGCTGAATTCGACCACTCTCCAATGGCTCCACCCATTGTCCATCAGTTGGTGTCAATCACTGCCGGATTTCCTTCTGGGTCCAGGCACCCTAAGAAAAAGGGTGGGTACGGCCTAAGCAGGCCTGGGTGGGAATTTAGGGTTTAGAGTTTAGGGTTTAGGGTTTAGGGTTTATTGAGCTTGCTTCGTGTGCGGGGTGCGTTTTTGAGAATATTAAACTGGGTGGTTTTTTTTGGGTTTTTTTTGGGTTTTTTTTGGGTTTCGGAGGTTTTTTTTGGTTTGCGAGTTTGGTTTGGGTTTCGGTGGCTGGGGGGCTTTGGGGGTTTCCGGGTCCTGAATTTTCGGTAGTTAAATAAATCCTGCATGGGGGTTTGCTAAACCCTCGGTTAATAAACCTTGCATGGGGGTTTGCTAAACCCTAAATTAGGGTTTAATAAACCTTGAATGGGGGTTTGCTAAACCCTACGGTTTGCTAAACCCTGAATTAAGGTTTAATAAACCCTGAATGGGGGTTTGCTAAACTCTAGGGTTGCTAAACCCTAAATAAACCCTAGGGTTTGCTAAACCTTAAATTAAGAATTAATAAACCCTGAATGGGGGTTTGCTAAACCCTAGGGTTTGCTAAACCCTAAATTAGTTAATAAACCCTGAATGGGTGTTTGCTAAACCCTAGGGTTTGCTAAACCCTGAATTAGGGTTTAATAAACCTTGAATGAGGGGTTTGCTAAACCATAGGGTTTGGAAAAACCCTATTAATGAACCTTGAATGGGGGTTTGCTAAACTTAAAGCCAAATTTCTTGGATTTTGGGGTAGGCGTTTTGGGTGACAAATTCTGTTCATAGAATAGCGTTTTTATTAGGCCGGAGGGCCGATCTCGAGGTCCCCCCCATTCTGGGCCTAAAATACAAACGGAACTGGCGCAGATTCGGGCCTAAACCATAAAATAATTAAAGCCAAATTTCCTGGATTTTGGGGTGGGCGTTTTGGGTAACAAATTCTGTTCATAGAATAGCGTTTTTATTAGACGGGAGGGCCGATCTCGAGGCCCCCCTCATTCTGGGCTTAAAATACAAACGGAACTGGTGCAGATCCGGGCTTAAACCATAAACGTTTAAGGTTTAGCGTTTAAAGCCAAATTTCTTGGATTTTGGGGTGTGCGTTTTGGGTTACAAATTCTGTTCATAGAATAGCGTTTTTATTAGGCCGGAGGGCCGATCTCGAGGTACCCCCTATTCTGGGCCTAGAATACAGACCGAACTGGTGCAGATTCGGGCCTAAACCATAAACGTTTTGTTTGTAGTTTGTTGGTGTTTTTGGAGTTTTTTGGTGTTTTGTTTTTTTGGTTTAGGGGGGCGGACGGGGTGGGGGGGGGTGGGTGGGGGGGGCGGGGGGGCCCGGGGGGGTGGGGGAGGCCGGGGGGTGGTGGGGGGGGGCGGGGGGGGGCGGAGCGGTCGGGGCGCGGAGTTCAATATTCTATACCCTAAATCCCGTATTAGTATTGGTATTTGTAGATTTGGTTCAATTTATTTAAACTCGATTGCATTTTGGTGGTGGTGGTGGCGGAATATTAAATTCAATTTACTTAAACTCGATTGCAACAACTTGTGCAAGCAGCTATGCATATCCAAGGATATGACTTTAAGTGTATTTGCTTCAATTTGAAAAGAATGTAATGGAATACCACGCACGGTGTAATTCGCAAGCTCAATTTATGGGGACTTGAGGGTTTATAGAAATTGTTAAGGGTTTGGGTCCCAAAAACTTTTTGACCGAAACTTTTTGACCGAAACTTTTTGACCGAAACGTTTTGAACGAGGGGTCTGGAGCCTGGATTTGGGGGTTGGGGCCTGGATTTGGGATTTGGTGCCTGGATTTGGGGGCTGGATTTGGGGGCCTCGATTTGGGGTCTGGAGCTTAAGCTTTTCGGACTGGGCCTGGATTTGGGGTCTGGAGCCTGGATTTGGGGCTTGGGCGTGGATTTGGGACTGAACCTCAAATGAGGTGTGGAGCTTGGATTTGAAGCTTTTGGGACTGGGCCTGGACGGTGGGTCTGGAGCCTGGATTTGGTGATCTGGAGCCATTTGGTACTGGGCCTGGTTTGGCCTGGGGCCTGGGCTTGGAGGGCCCCAATCCAAGCTCCAGACCCCAAATCCAGGCCTCAGACCCAAAATCCAGGCCCCAGGCCCCAAACCCAGGCTCCAGACCCCAAAGCTAGGCCCCCCCCAAATCCAGGCCCACCCGAAATCGAGGCCCAATCCCAAATCCAGGCGCTGGCTTGGATTTGGGGCCTGGATTTGGTGCCTGGGGCCTGGATTTTGGCCTGGTGCCTGGATTTGAGACTGGGCCTGGATTTGGGGTGGGCCTGGATTTGGGGTGTGGAGCGCCTGGACTTGGGACTGGATTTAGGGGGCCTGGATTTGGGAGTGGGGGGGTGGATTTGGGATCTGGAGCCTGGATTGGATTTGGCGTGTGCCTGGGGTCTGGGGCCTGGGCTTGGAGGGCTGGTGCCTGGATTTGGGGCTGGACCTGGATTCTGGATTTGGGGTTTGGGACCTGGATTTGAGGGGATTGGAAGGTGGGCCTGGGTTGGAGGTTATGGAGAAATTGGTTTATCAAGAAGCTTGTTCCGTTTTTGATCGGGTGGCTGTTTTGAGTTGGCTGGGCTGAGTTAATGGTTGAGGTTGTGGTTGTGCGAAATTGGATTATCAAGAAGCTAACGCCAGTTTTATCCGAAATGCTATTTGGGGTCTGGAGCCTGGATTTGGGGCCTGGGGCCTGGATTTGGGACTGGGCCTGGATTTGGGGTGGGCCTGGATTTGGGGTCTGGAGCCTGGATTTGGGACTGGGCCTGGATTTGATTGGGGCCATTTGGGGTCTGGAGCCTGCGGCCTGGGGTCTGGATTCGGGGCTGGATTTTGAAGCTTGGATTTGGGGTGGGCCTGGGGACCTGGCCTGGGCTTGGAGGGCCTGGTGCCTGGATTTGGGGCTGGACCTGGATTCTGGATTTGGGGTTTGGGACCTGGATTTGGGGGATTGGAAGGTGGGCCTGGGTTGGAGGTTATGAAGAAATTGGTTTATCAAGAAGTTTGTTCCGTTTTTGATCGGGTGGCTGTTTTGAGTTGGCTGGGTTGAGTTAATGGTTGAGGTTGTGGTTGCGCGAAATTGGATTATCAAGAAGCTAACGCCAGTTTTATCCGAAATGCTGGGCCTTAGCGGTGGTTACAAACAAGGACAAGCAATTTCTATTTATCATTTTCTTGAGAGTTTAGGGTTTATAGAAATTGTATAGGGTTCAGGTCCCGAGTTTTGACCGAGTTTTGAGCGGGTTTTTGTTTTTGCTTTGTCATTTTGACTTTGGGAAGTGGCTGGGCTGGGCTGGACCGGCTAGGGCTTGTGGCTGGGCTGGGCTGGACCGGCCTGGGTGGGCTGGGTGGGCTGAAGGGGCTGGCTTCGTTGAAGGGGGGTCTGGGCTGGGCTGGGTTCAGGTCCCGAGTTTTGACCGAGTTTTGAGCTAGAAATTGTATAGGGTTCAGGTCCCGAGATTTGAGCGAGTTTTGAGTGAGTTTTGAGCGAATTTTGAGCGGGTTTTGTTTTTTGCTTTTGTATTTTGATTTCGGCAATTGGCTGGGCTGGGCTGGCTCGGCTGGGCTGGGGGCTGTGCTGGGAGCAGCCGCTGGCGGCTATTGGCGGCTGCTGGGCTGGGATAGGAGGGCGAAATCCAGCCGGGGCTGGGTCCGGGGTTTTGACCGAAAGTTTTGAGCGAAACGTTTTGGGCGAAAGTTTTGGTTATGAGCGAGTTTTGAGCGGGTTTTGTTTTTTGCTCTTGCCTGGACTGGGCTGGGTCGGCTGGGCGACCGTTGGGCTCTGGGGGCCGGGCTGGGGGCTGTGCTGGGAGCAGCCGCTGGCGGCTATTGGCGGCTGCTGGGCTGGGATAGGAGGGCGAAATCCAGCCGGGGCTGGGTCCGGGGTTTTGACCGAAAGTTTGGAGCGAAACGTTTTGGGCGAAAGTTTTGGTTATGAGCGAGTTTTGAGCGGGTTTTGTTTTTTGCTCTTGCATTTTGATTTAGGCAATTGGCTGGGCTGGGCTGGGTCGGCTGGGCCACCGTTGACCTCTGGGGACTCGGGGTGAGAGCACGCACCTGGGACCCCATATTGGTTGAGGATAAGCGCTCCCGCCTCGTCCCTGCCTCTGCCTTCTTCGGTTCGAAAATATCGAAGATGCAATCCATTTCGAAGCGAAAGACACACAATTTCTATTTATCCTGCTCTTGAGGGTTTAGGGTTTAGGGTTTAGAGTTTAGGGTTTAGGGTTTAGGGTTTAGGGCTTTTGGGCTTTTTTGGGCCCCCTGCAGTACAGGGATATTCAGTTTCCCTTTAAAGGGTACTATAGGGATATTCAGGGTCCCTGTAAGGGGTACTACAGGGATATTCAGGGTCCCTTTAAAGGGTACTATAACGGGGCTTAAAGGACTGGGTTTTAGGGCTTGAGTTTTGAGGGTATTGGAGCCCAGGGCTTTTGGGTTTTAGCGTTATAGGCTTATAGGGTTCAGGGTATGGAGTTTAGGGTGTAGGATGTAGGGTTGTAGGGTTATACAGGGTTGAGGGTTGTAGAGTGTATATAGGAGGAGCCCAGGGCTTTCGGGTTTAGGGTTATAATTAGTGATAGTATCGGGCTGTAGGGGTTGTAGGGTTTAGGGTGGAGGGTTTATAGAAATTGTTAAGCGTTTGGATGCCAATAATTTTTTGACCGAAAGTTTGAACGAAATGTTTCTTTTTGCGAATCTGGGTCCGGGAATTGGTGGGCCGGGGGCTCGGCTGCGGCTGTGGTCTGGGGATCCCTGGGCCGGGGAGTCCCATGCTCCAAAGTCCCTCACTGGCCAGATTATGATCAACCCGGACAAAGCGCATGCCTTGTTAGCAATAGAGGCCCGCAGCCCGCCATACGCGTCCGCAGGCAGAAGGCTGCGATGTAGAACAGGCAAGAGAATCAAACTTCGAGCCGTCGAGCAGCTTTGTGCAGGATCTCAGGAACATGGCCGTCCAGGAGCCACGGGACTTTCTGGGTGGCAGTGCCAGGCCCTTCGCAGCGTTGTCGATTTTTGGATAATTTTATTGAGTATGCAATGCAATCTCCTCTGAAGCAATGCGCGTTCTGGCGCTGACACTCCGTGCTTCAGGCAGTGGATGAGGGAAGTGTTTCATAGGGATTTCGTTCTCTACGGTGGCGAGATCGCTGAGTCTCAAGCTGTCTTACTTACCCGCCTGCCTCGCTCGACCAGCAACTGTATTTTTTCGGCACAGTTCTCGCTCGGTATGATGCGTGTAACAAGGTTCTATGTATTCTATGTGTTGTATGTTAGGGCGTTCGCAAACGCTGATCCCAGGCGATGTGTTCCGAGTCAGGCTAAAATCATGATGGAACGTTTTCCAGCCACTGACTCAGCGTCACAGCGAGTACATATTGTCCTTGAACTTGGTGCATGGGCTATCATGCGAGGATACCTGTCAGTGTGTCACGGTGTGTGTGTGTGTGTGTGTCCGTGTGTATGTGTGTGAGTGTGTACTGTGTGTTTTCTCAAGGGACACGTCACATTATTCGTAAAGGTTCCTGCCACATACCACTATATTGTTGTGACGGCCTTGGACATTTCGGCGACCTGGTCAAGGAAATTGTCGAGTTCTTGTGTGGTGAGGCTGTACCATGCAGAACCAGAGTAAGCGGCACGACCTCTCTAGGTGATGCACTAAGGACGGCGTGCGAGCTGCGGCTTCTCCCTGAGTTCTTCGATGTGGACAGAAACGACCGGGAAAACGGCGCCGACAAAGATCAGCGTTGGGTGGGGGGTTCTGCGCAAACTGTGGAACTCCACCCTGACAAAGGTTCTGAAGTGTGAGCTGGAGATGAAGGAAGAAGTCCGGGCCTCGTCCGGTCGGATATGGGGTTTGACAGCTCATCCGACTACTGGCTGGCAGCAGCAAAGGACCTGGAAAGGGCATATAACCGAATGTCTCTGCTGCTGTGGACCCCCTGTCCAGGCCAAGCTTTTTGGCCCGGTTGTCCGTTGTTCCCGGAGCTATGCTCCGGGACGACGGCAGGAGCCTGAGCTTTTGCAGGATCCGGTCTGTTATGTCCGTTTTCTCGTGAAGCATCGATACCCTTAGCACTTAGCACAAGGCTTGCACGCTCCGGCGGAAGTAACCTTTATTCGACCGAGAGGCTCGCATGTAGGATCCCAGCCGATCGTGCATAGCCGACGTTGGGTAGATGCTCGGACCGCTTGCGTGTGCTTGTTCTCCTTGCGCATCTCCTCTGCGGCAGTTGAACATGCAGTGCAAAGACGGCCAAGCAGAGATGGGCATTGAGGCCGCACGAAAGGTTGGAATCTGCGAGCTGAGGGATGGGATGAAGTGGCGAAGCAGACGCTACGTTTTCGGCTGATGCAGTTCCGTGGCCTGCTTTATGTGCATTCCCCTGACGAGACGGTCTTGATTGCAAGGATAGCAAAAAATGAGCTGTAGATCGGATGCCTGGCAGAAGTATTGTCTTCTGACTGTTGAATTTTGCGAGTAAGGGCCCCACATCTGGAAACCGCTTGAGAAGTGGCCGGTACACAAAATCAGCGAAAAGCTTTCTTTTGAAACTTCTTTTTGGTGTTAGGTTTGGGGTGCAGGGCCAGGCTGGGCCGCGGTTGTGGTTACAAACGAAGACAGGCAATTTTGTTTATTTCTGTCTTTCGGGTTTAGGGTTTAGGGTGTAGGGTTGAGGAGAGCTATGAAGCAGCGTTTGCAACACGACCAGACGAGGGGTTTGTCCTGGGTACTGCTGGGCCCAACATTTTACGGCAGAACAGAAGGCCCTACGGTCTATACCCTCGAAATTCTCAAATCCCCAAACCCCAAGCGTCAAACTTTCAGTCACCACAACAAGCACGAAACCTACAAACTTATGCAGGGGCTCCTGCTGCCCTGGCAAACGCGTCGATACAGCTTGCAGCTGTAGCCGAGGGTCTCCGGCAGGAGCGGCGGGGCTTTTTGAGAGGGTTTCGGGCATCGGACTTTGCAGTTTTTGCTTGATGTATTATACAGATTTTGGGTGTTGGGTTTCCGTTCAGTTAGGGTGGTCTGGCACTTTGGGGGATGAAAGCTTGGGGTTCCAGCTGTTGGGTCCGCTTAGGCAAGCGTCAAGCCCAAAGCTTAGTGGCTCTGGAGAAAGCAGAGGTTTAGAGTCAAACTGAAGCAGAATTGCGCCTTTAAAAGGCTTAAGGCTATAGGGTTTATGGTTTAGGGCCTATATTCTAAGCCCGTCAACGCAAGATAAACCGTGAACCCTAAAACCCCAGCCCAGCGTCTGAAAGGAGCCGGGAGCCGGTGTGTCGCTCCCCTCAACTGAGCCGCCGTCCCCGCCACCAGGCCTGGCTATTGACAGCTGTGTGGCTTTTCGGGCTTGGGGTATGTAAGATGTTTATGGTTTAGGGTTTAGGGCCTAGGGTTTCGGGTCTAGGGCTTGGGTATGTTATATAGTACATTGTAGCATATTACAGTATACTTTGATATGTAAGATCAGTTAGGATAAAGCATAAAAGTTGCCTGAGGCATTTAGGGTTCTGGGAAATAAGATTCCAGGTGTATTTTCTTAAAAGGGTTCCAAAAGGCATGTAGTGTTCGGGGGCAGGAATTAGGTTTCCAGGTTGCAGTCATGTTATAGTATGTATGTACAGGTACATATGTATATATATATATACACACCTATCTATATATAAGTATATAACTATCTATATATATATATGCGCCGTTCATTCTAGCATAAATGCCATGGTATCAAGTTTACAGTAGGTCATAGTGTACCGGGGCGTAGTTCTGCATTAGACCCCAAACCCAAAGGCCCCAACTCACAGAGATTCTCGCCACCAGTGCAAAGTCTAAAGCCGAGGACTCCCAAAGCCGCAAACAGTGCAAGCCCCAAAGCTGCAAGCCCTAAACCCTAAACCCATATGTGTGGTTGTCAAAATTCGGGTCCCTCTTTGGGTCCTGATTATAATACGGCACCTAATATTTAGGGTGCCCAGAAAGGGGGCCCTAATTTTGACAACTACCCATATGCCGTCAGCCTTAAACCCTAAACCCTAAACCCTAAACCCTAAACCCTAAACCGTCAGCCTTAAACCTGGAGCCCTAAACGCAAGGCCTTCAACTCCAGACCCAGGGTCCGTGCTTCGAAGGATCAGGAGATTGGTGCTGAGCTTTTGAAGAAGCCTGCAGTAGACCCCAAAAAGTTGGAAACCTGATTGAGGACAAATAATTAGTGCTGGGATTCCTTTCGCATTACTCTTAAGGATTGAGGCTATTGGGTTTCCAACTTTTGGGCTTCTACCATAGGGTGTGTTTGGAGAGTTGCGGTTTACAAGTTATAAACCTTTTTAAGGGATTAGGGTTTATATGGTCTGGGGGACATGGTTTGGGGTTCATGGTGCGCTAACAGGCTCGAGAAATTGACCTTTCATTTTGCTCAACCTCACTACGCCAACTTCAACCTGAGCCATAAAGTCCAAAATTCAATCTTTCCAAACACTCTAAATTAAACCCTAAAAGCACTGCAGAAACGACGGGTCGTAAGGATGTTTTCCATGCTCCCTCCCCCGCGTATACGGTTTATCTGGGTGGTAACTTTGAGGAGGTGCTGGTAACATCTCCACGTGTTGAGGCTTCCATACTCGTCTGAGGGTGGTCGAAGCTTCGGATGTTGAGTCTACGGCCTAGCCATGAAAGCTATCTTGGTGGTTCCTTATCATAACCCCTGTATAGTATACCCCAACACCTTATTCTAACGAATCAGGCCTTGATAGTAGCCTCTGCCGTGGACTCCTAGAGACTCCAATATCAATATCCTTGAATTAGGGAATATACCTTAAATCGTATTAATGATCCTACTATAATTTAAGGAATACTATAATGTAAGGAAAATTACTTAGTTAAGGGATATTGGAGTCTCTGGACTCGAGGCCCCGCGGAGGCAGCCACCCCAGCGAGCTATGCGCAGCTGCTGCGCCAGGCCGGGCAGCTGACACTTAAAGGGCTCCTTAAAGGGAGCTATAGGGTTCCTTAGAGGGATCTGTAGGATTTAGTTTAGGGTTTAGGGTCTACTTGGAGGATCGGGGAGCTAGTAAGTAAGGTTTTAAGTCCCTAATTGGGGTTCTAAGAATTTATAAGTATAGTTACCGTATTTACCCTAGTTACTACGTCCCATGATCGTTTAAGTAGTAAGTCTGGTTACAACTGCCATAATTGGGGCAATATAGGGGCCTTCATAATTAGAATAGGGTTTGGGGGTCAGTATAGGTCTCAGTAAGGCCCCTATATTACAGGGTTTACGGTGGGGTGTACTTAATTGTAAGAAAGGTTTCCTGAAAAGCAGAGAACGGGGCCATCTAGTGTTTACCGCACCATGACCTGGAATGCACCAGGCCTAGTCTGCACGCGCATGAAAATCCTGAACACGGACCTGGAAACAAAGGAAACCCAGAGAATGTTCGCCTGATGTTGCGATAAACCCTGAAAAACCCTAATGTATCCCCATCAGAACCCTGCACAAGCCTACGACCTCTAAGCCCGACGACCCCAACGCACTAAACCGCTGCCCGAACATGCCTAACTCAAAAAGCAAAAAGGAACAACACAAATACAGAAACGGACGTCTTAATACATAACACAAGTAGTTAATCAAGCAAACCGATGAATCTCTACATTAAGCCTGAATTTAGGGTTTAGGGTTTATGAACCATAGAGACCTCCAGATAGCGTGCCTTCGAAGGTGGACCAACTCCAAGGCGCTTCATCGCTGTGCTCTTGTTGCTTTGCTTTTGTTGTACTGGGTTCAGGTTTTTAGGATTTTGGATTTAGGGTTTAGAGTTTAGAGTTTAGGGTTTTATAATCAGCGTATAATGGGCACCAGAATCCTGTTTTAATCATTAAACCCCGTGTAGTATATCCTCAAACAAGTCGCCTTTCAGCTTTCTCAGTCGGGGCCGATCTCGGCGTTTAGGGTTTAGGGGCTTGGCCTAAACCCTAAATCTTAAACCTAAACCCCAAACCTTAACCTTGAACCCTAAACCCTATATAAACCCTAAACCCTAAACCCCAAACCTTGTATAAACCCTAAACTTGGGGTTCAGGGCTCAAGACTTTCTGGGACCCCTCCAAGCTTCGACCCTGTAGCGCATCCAGGCGCCCTGGCGCGCGAGAAGCTCGTCAGCTCGTCCCTTCAGGCTGAAGATTGCACGAGACGCTGCTTAAGAAGCTTACTTTCAACATGGTCTAGTCCCGAAGCCCCTAAACCCTACACCCCTAAACCCTAAACCCTAAACCCCGAAACCCTAAGCCTGCACTCTATACCAAGGCATGTCTAGAGGGCTAGAGCTCATCCCTGGCGGCTGAAAGTTGCGCGAGAAGCAGTTTAATATGCGGGCCTTAATGGTTAGAATAGGGGCTCCTTGAACGGGATCCTAAAAAGGGGTTCCTTTAAAGGGATCCTAAAAGGGGTTCCTTTAAAGGGATCCTAAAAGGGGTTCTATGTGAGGGCCCTTAAAAGATGGGATAGGGTTTGGGGGTATATTATACCATAAGTACACTAAGGAACCCCCGAAACACTATTCTAATAATTAAGGCGCCTACATTAGCTCCAACCTACTCTAGTTTACTATATATACTATCCTGTAATCTACACTAAGGCATGTCTAGAGGGCTAGAGGGTTCGATTGATGAAGGCATCGTAGTCCTTTAGCAGGGCCTCGATCCGCACGCTTAAGGGGTTTGCAAGGGTTTTACAGTGTTTTGAAGAATTCTTAACTAAAGCTACCACAAGTAGCACTGCAAGCAAACGCCTTACTGTACCGTACACCTTTGCTACGGCAACTTACATGAAGTTCCGCGAGACGAACGCAGAGTAAGTGTCCAATCGACCATTAAACCAGGGTTTCAGAGTTAAACGTTCTTGTCTTTGGGATGTGTCGGGCGTAGGTCTGCACGCTTAGGTCTTCGGGGTGTATGTAGTTGTGCGCCTTCCATGGGTTTTTAGACACGGATGTTGAGACATCAGCGTATGTGGTGTTCTGGGGACGTCAGTTTAAGTTACCATGTTGGGGTACACAGTATAGATAGATCCCATGCTTTCTGCATTACCGTAGCTTACATAATGTTGTGCCAAGAGCAGGATCTGACAACTGTGAGCATCCTCCAGCACCCTCTGCCCTGAGAGCCCCATACCCCTTAAGGAAAAAACTTAACTTACAAGGGGATTCATATTATGATTTAAGCTCTATTCCTTAATTAAGGGGTATTGGGCTTTTTGGGTGTAAGAATCCCACAAGACCCTTCGCTCTGCAGCGCGAAGTCTTCGCTATCATGCAGGGCCGATCCCGAATGCCTAAACCTTAAACCCTGAACCCTAACCCCTGAACCCTAACCCCTGAACCCAAAACCCAAAACCTTAAACCTCTAAACCCTGAACCCCGAAACCCTAAACCCTTAAAATCTCCACCCGAACTGCGCTTGGCGGGCTTTCTGTTGTTTCTGGAAGGCCGAGATCGACGCCATGCGATCCCTGCGCGGCACAGGGCTGCTGATATCCTGACGCCTTGGAGGAGGCACCTCTTGACCAAAGGGGTTCTTTGGGTTCCGAGAGTAAGGGTTATGATGCGTAGGGGGCCTTGAATCGGGTTGTTCCGGTTTCGGGTTTAGGGTTATTCTCATAAGGGCTTCTAGATGAGTCATCATAACAAGGGTGACTACGAGGTTCCTGTAATGTGAAATGTATTAATACAGGCTACTACTATGGTTATCATGAGTTGCTAGCCGGGTTTAGTTTAGAGGTCTGAATATTTGCCGATTCTATACTTACCAACACGGTTCCTTGGGGATCCAAGATCATCAGGTATAATATCCCCCTATTCAAAATGTTAATGCCCATTATTAAGGGATTAGGGCTGCAGCCCCGAAACCTTAAACTCCACGCTTTCAAGTCTCTAGACAACAATCTGCAAGCCCTGAAGCCCTCAAAAAACCTCAAGCCTGCAACTGTTAGGGTCTCGAGTTTAGGTTTTAGGGTTTCGGGTTGGGGTTTAGGAGTCAGAATGAGGGGTTTAGGGCTTGTGGTTTCGAGTGCTCCATCCCTGCCAGCGCATCGAGAACCTGAAGCATATGACGCGGGCACGTGAGAGCCCCGTGAGCTGCGGAATCCAGCGGTCGCGACGATGTGGAGGCAGAGAGGGAGGATGTTCTGAAGGTTAATTACAGCCATAGGGAAACCTAATCCCAAGTTTCTGAAATGCCATTTTGTTTTCCGGTCAAGGGCCAAGGCCTGGACCGTAGTGCAACACCGGGGCTTGGGACTTAGGTTTCGGTTTCCAAGAACTGGGACTAGGATTCTCAAGGTCTGGCCGGACAGGACGGCCTCTTAGTGTAATACAGGGGCTTAAGTAATTTCCAATACTATTTTGGGAGTTCCTTAATTTTATTTTTTACAGCATAGTAGGCCCTAGAACCCTATTCTGACTATTAAGGCCCCTGTGTTAGGATATATGGGTGATCAGGGTTCAACGAAGTGTTCCGGCAGCGGCATGAAGTCAACCCAAAGGGATGTCGAGAATCATCTCCCCTCCCTTTATATCGTAGAGGCCAGAAAGTCGGGGAAGATCATTACCCTCATGCCGTTAAGGCAAAGTTTACGGAATCCTACCGCTAATCATGTTCCAACTTTCCGGGATTCACTGTAAAGCCCTTGAACGTAGACCGTTGTAGAACCCATGCAGGCGCGTGACAGAGGTGGACGCTGGAGAAGATGATGGGATGTTGGCGACTCGTCGCGTCGAAGTGCCTGCGTGCGGCTTCCTCTCTGTCGAGCGAAGGATGAAGGGACAGACTGCCGGGTTTCAGATTTTAGCTTTGACTTGGGCCGGGAGGAGGAGTAGGATCTAAACTCCAAACCAAAAACCCCTTAAACCCTAAACCCCCAAGCCCTTAAAGCGTGAAATCCTCAAAGCCTTAAACCTTGAAATCCTCAAAGCATAAACCCCGAAATCCCCAAAGCCTTAAGCCGTGAAATCCTCAAAGCCTCAAGCCCCGACCTCCTCGAACCCTTAAGCCTTGAAATCCTGAAAATCCCCTGAGCCGTGAAATCCTCAAAACCCTACAGAAAACCTCTCCTTGGGGATCATGGGACTTAGTAATTAACTAGGCTTAGACATCAGGCAACTATACTTATAATTTACTTATAACCCCAATTAGGATACTTATAGCCGTACTTACCAAGTCCCCTGATCCTCCAAGTAGGCCAGGCCATCCCAGGCCTTCTAGGCACGGTCGCCCCAGTTTTCCGTGGCCTGGATCACCAGGCAACTGCCAGAGCAAAAATGGCGTCCTCTTCTTCTTGCTCTTCTTATCCGTTTTTTGCTAGTGATGCTGCTACTTGTTGTTTTGCATATGATGATACAGCTCAGTATCATTCCTACTGTGTTACTGCTGCTGTTGCCGCTGTCGCTGGCGCTGATGCTGTTGCTGCTGCTGCGGTTGTGGTTGTTGTTGTTGTCGTTGTTGCTGTTGCTGTCGTTGTTGCTGTTGAGGTTGCTGTTGCTGCTGATGCTGCTGCTGCTGCTGCTGCTGATGCTGTTGCTATGACTGTTGCTGTTGCTGTTGCTGTTGCTGTTGCTGTTGTTGTTGTTGTTGTTGTTGTTGTTGTTGTTGTTGTTGTTGTTGTTGTTGTTGTTGTTGTTGTTGTTGTTGTTGTTGTTGTTGTTGTTGTTGTTGTTGTTGTTGTTGTTGTTGTTGTTGTTGTTGTTGTTGTTGTTGTTGTTGTTGTTGTTGTTGTTGTTGTTGTTGTTGTTGTTGTTGTTGTTGTTGTTGTTGTTGTTGTTGTTGTTGTTGTTGTTGTTGTTGTTGTTGTTGTTGTTGTTGTTGTTGTTGCGATGTTTGTGATGGTGGTGATGATGATCATGATCAGGATGAAGAAGCAGTGTGTGGCGAGTGATTGTGAGGATGCTGATGATCATGATGTTGGTGGAGATGATGATCAGCATCACTGTTTCGTATGCAAACCCTGCAGTGTAGCTATCTGTCTGTCTACCTATATAGTTGGAGGTTATTACTCAGAAACGTATTCATGATCATGACTACAACATTCATAGTAGTATACCAGCGATATTCGCCCTGTAAAGTGCGTAGTGTCCCAGCGAATGTCTATAGATCCCCAGCCTTCGTAAGCCCGCCACCCTCTGTCTCAAACCTCAGGTGTCTCATCCTAACCAGCGTCTTGGGACAGTGTGCTCTGGAAGCCTGTTCCTACGCGTGCTTAGGGGGGCAATAGAGGAGGACCTTTCAAACCTCAACCGGGCTGCGGCTACAGCGGTAGTCTTTTTAGAGCGTAGATCTTTGTGATTTAGGGTTCGGTCCAGTTTGGGGTCGATTTTGGTTTCGCGTTCAGGGAGCTGTGTGGTTCGATTTAGGGTTCAAGCCATGACATAGGGTTATACATAGGGTAACTTTACTTACAGTTGCTTACTTATCACCCCAATTATAAGGTACTTATAGCCTTACTTAACAAGTCCCCTGATCCTCCAAGTGTTTAGGCATCCGGAGCCTCTAAGCCGCTAGCATCCCTGGCCACTCAGAGCTTTTGCAGTCAGCCCCTTGCCTTCTGCTGCTGCAGCACCAAGAGGGTTTCGCGGTAGTTTTTGAACGTCTATGAGCTTTAAGCTTTCGTCATGGACGCAGACATTTAGGAAGTAGAGGTAGAAAATCTTAGCGAGCATGATTGATTAAGCCGTAGTATGCGTGACAAAGTGCCACAGCTGAAGGTTTTAGCCCCCATACAAATCGCGTTGTGCCTGTCTTCCTCCCCGAATGCCATTGCCATGGGTCGGGGCAACGCTAAAGGAGGCGGTCGCGCCGCCTTGCTTGAAATCCGCGCGGATCTAGCTTCCCACCCCGCTTTGGTATGAGCAGTTTTGGGTGTAGGGTTTCGGGTTTGCATCTGCCGTTTCGGGCTTTTAGAGCGACGAGCAATGCAGCTGTGGCACGGTTTGTGTGAGCCTCTAGTCGCTCTAGTCACTGCTGAAGTTGTTTGGTCTCAGCTTGATGTTTGGAATAGTTCTCCTGGAAGCCTAAACCTTAAACTCGGCTTGGTCCCTAAGAAACCCACGTGCTTAGCGAAAGGCGCCTCCTTACGATTTACTTGTGTTGTTCCTCAAAAGGGTAGGTTTTGTGGGTCGAGGTAGACCGCACATCTTGAACCCTCGGCCCTCAAACTTTCGACCCTCCTCCCAGGGCGAGGGACGTTTAAACCTGGCGTTTAGACATGGGGGCCTTGGAACCTTGAGGGCTGTAAGAGGACTTAGTAAGGAAGGCTGTAAGTCCATTTATTGGGAGTAGAAGTAGTTACAACTATACTTGCCTTATTTCATAACCCTGCTTCCTGAGTCCCATTCCTAAGTTTTGCGGACCATGGCACGGCCTGCTTGAGCGGACTTTGGCTTTAGGGTTTGAGGGCTGTCGGGGTTTTTAAGGATAGGGGTCTGGGGGTTTAGGGTTTAGGGTGCAGGGTTTAGGGTTTAGGATTTGTGTTTAGGGGTTTAGGGGGTAGCATTCATCAACAAAATTGCGGGTTGGCTTGCCAGTTGCGACTTGTCGGCAGTAGACTCTCGCCAACAGACAAACACCTGCCCCCTGTAGAAGACCACCATATTCAGCTCTGAGTGCCCTAAACCCCAAAACCTCAAGCCCCAGACCTTCAACCCTACTTCAACCTTTCCCTAAACCCTGAAACCCTTAACCCTCAGCCCCAAACCCTAAAACCCTAGACCCTGAACCCTAAACCCTCAACCTTTCCCTAAACCCTAAAACCCAAAGGTGTCAGCCCTCAGCTCTACACCCTAAGCCGTAAGCCCTGAGCAGAGCGGTACCAGATTGGGTGGTTGTCAAAACTAGGGTCCCTTTTTGGGTCCTTATTATAATACGGCACCAAATATTTAGGGTACCCAAAAAGGGACTGTAATTTTGACAACTACCCATAGTTCGCTGTTTACTCAAGATCCCGTTTATGGCAATGTAGGAACCTGATTAAGAAACCTTGCGCCTTATAATGGTTCCTTTAAAGGGGTCTATAAGGGTTACTATAAGGGATCCTTAATAAGGGTACATTAGTAATGTAGGAACCTGATTAAGAAACCCTGGGGCCTATAACCCCCAAATAATAGAACTCATAATGCGGAACCCCAGTAAAGGCCCAAGGTCTCTTAATCAGGTTCCTACATTACGATAGTACCCTTATGGATCTCTTCTGGTAAGCCTTATAGAGCCCTTTAAAGAAACCCTTCTAAGGCGCAAGGTTTCTTAAGCAGGTTCCTTTTTTAGCATTCCTAAAAAAGAGCCAAGTCTTTGCCAGGGCTGGGGGTTCAGCAGAATGCTGGCTGCCAGGCTCTGGACGCTTAAACCCTAAACTCTAAGCCCTAAACCCTGAGGGTTTAGGGTATAGGGTTTAGGGTTGAGGTTCTGCGTTGATCATTTCAGTTTAGGGTTTAGGGTTTGGGGTGTAGGGTTGAGGTTCTGGTGTGATCATTTCAATTTGGAGTTTGGGGTTTAGGGTTGAGGCTTTGGGTTGACTTTTGAGGTTTCGGAGTTTACGGCTCGGGGTTTAGGGCTTTGCATGGGGTTTAGGGCTTTAGTGCTCGACGTTGAGGGTTGCTAGCTAGGGGCCCTTTCTGTTGAGGCCATGAGCCCGTAGGGTCCAAGCAATCTGGCGTTAGGGTTTAGAGGTTGAGGGTATATAGTAGGGTTTAGACTCAGACAGGTACTGGTACTTATTGAACACTCTGACTTACATCCTCTTGGCAAAATCCAGCAAGGGAAATTACAGCCTCCCCTAATAGAGGGGATTAAATAGTTGCCAATACTGGTTTGAGGCGTTGGGATCAAACCTGCAGGTGAGATAGGTATCGCCCGACCCCAGTGTCCGGAAGGACACGAATTTCGCCATACCCCGACCATCTCCGGTGTGGCATCGCAGGGTCAGAGCACGTCGCTCTAAGCTGCGCAGAAAGCTTTGGAGAGCCCGAATCTTCGGTGAGCCTCCCCTTACAACTGTCCCGGCTGCTTTGTCAGGGCACCACTCTCAGCCCCGATACCTCGAGGACCGTTCGACATCCTCGGTCTCGATGGGAAGGAAATGGCATCGCGGACAGCAGTGGGACCGCGACACCGACTATGTGTCCACCGACTATGGAGGATCCTACCACTTGTGGGGTGGGGCGTACTCGGCATCGCCGAAGGCTGCCCCGAAGGCCAAGTCTCGGTTGCGCTACGATCAGACCGTTGTGCCGGACCGTCCTGCGAAACCAGCCCTGCCTTCGGAGGAGGACTCTCTGGCGATTGTGGCTGGTGGCAATGGGCCCCTGTCACAAGCGATCCAGAAGGCACTCACCATGGCCAAGAAGTCAGATGGCCGTGTCCGCAAGCTTCGCAAGGACATTGCTACCCGAAGGGCTCAGTTCGACCAGTTCGGTCGCGAGCTGAAGGCATCCTACGCGGCCGAGCAACGACGCTTCGATGCCGATGTGCAGCGTTTGGAGGAAGAGGTGCAAGCGGCTGCACAGTCTGGCCAGCAGGCAGCTCGGGCCGTGCAACATCTTGTTCTGCATGGTGTCCAGGAGCAGAAGGACGAGGACGAGGAAGCAGCAGCGGATGCGGCCTGGAATCAGCTCATGGCGGCCCCGGCCCCCGAGGAAGAGCCGCCTTCCCAGTTCTTGGCGGATGCCATGGCAGCTGTACGCTCTGTACATGTGCTGGACACTCCCCAGCCGCGACGTGTGCCAGCAAAACAGGAGTCCAGGGATGGAGGGGATGGCCTCAGTCGGCCACCTCCTGGCCTGACTGCGCCAGCATCTGCGCCCTCCGCCAATCCGCGACAGGAGATCCCGGGCACGGGCTCAGGACTCATTGCTACAGGGGCTGTGGATGCCCACAGTGCCCCCAACTATGCGACCGAGCCAGTGGGTGCGCCGTTCGCTCACTCACCTGGCTGCCCCGCGGGACCGGCAGTGGCGCCTGTGGCAGTCACTCCGGAAGGACGTCGACCTGCTGGAAAGCCTCGGACACCGATCAAGGCCCACACCAAGCCTACACATCCACCGTCGGGCGGCCGCAGCTTGGGGCAGACCATGCAGCGCTGCCTCGCCCGGTGCCACGGAAGCCGACGTTTCCGGAACTGCCAGCCATGGTCCCCAGGGTGCGACAGGCCTGCCAGCACAGGTAATCAACGACGACGACGAGGATCTCCACGACATGTCGTAACACTGCCTTCTCGGCACTGGCTCGGAAAGGGGCCACTACCCCGTGCATTCGACGGCACTCTGGGACTTGGACGCCTGGAGGTCCCGCGCTCGCTCAGGCTACTGTGGTTCGTAGCTTGGCGAATGCTGACGACCCTCGGGCAAGTCCCTTCCAGAGCTGCCGCTTCGGATGGATGCGGGCGTGGTTTCCCCCAGTATCTGAGTCTGAGTGCAGTAGGTTGTTGTACAGAGCCCGTAGCTAGTGATGTTCTGTTTGGCCGGCCTTGGAAGCCTCCCGATCCTTCGACCCCAGAGAGTGATTGTGCCGACAGCTGTCCTGATCTGGTCCTTGCACTTTGGGTCCTGGTTGCCTTGCCTGATTCCTCGATTCCTGTCGCTTGGATTTGGTCATCCTCGGCACTGTTCTGGGCCAATTGGATTTCCGGTCTCAGAACTCTGTGCCCTCGCCTCGCCCAGCCGTCCGGCTGTGGCTTCGATGCACAGGACTCCCCCAATAGGACCCTAGGGTTTAGGCCCTCCCTTGTCGGTTGCGCTTGGGTTGACTTTGGGGTTTAATAAGTGTAGTGGCGCCAGTTTCAAGGGCTGCCTTGCACCATGCCTTTCCGACTGCCTCCCAGTTCCCTCACCATCGGTACAGGTGCCAAACAGTCGGATCGGTGGCTCTGGGCCGTCGACCTCGTACCATGGTGAAAGAAGCTCTGGTCTAAACGACGGCCGGCCTCAGATTGCGCAGCTCCATGGACTCCTCCTTTCTGCGTTGAGTTCTTCCCTTCATTCCCTCGCCAGCCACATACTGCCAATCTGCCACAGCATCTGTGCAATCTTGCAACTGGGTTTGCTGAAGCTCTTGGGACGTGCCTTGCCACGACGATTCCAGGCTCTTCGCCGTGCACTTCGATTTCTTACTCTGGGTGTGCCTGGCTCTGTAGTCCTGCCCTTGGGCTACATCGGTGTCGGTGGATTCCGGAAAACCCAAGGTCCCAGCCGCTCGGCACGCGTCGGCAGTGTGGTCCCTATCCCACCCGTGCCTTGCCAGCACAGTGGACAGGCTTCCGGCCCTGCCTCCGGTGTTTCGTGGTGGCCCACTCAGTTTTGGCTTGCTGCAGCGGTGGCGTCTAGCAACGACCGTGTTCCAGACCCACTGCTTGCCACGGCTCCTGCTGCTCTGTGCATCGAGACAGTTGCATTGGGGCAACAACGCCACAGCCCTAGGTGTTGCAAGCTCGACCAGGAGCCGCCTTCACACACACCACAGCAGCGCGCTGATCTCGAAAGGCTCCGTGCAGTTGAGCTACATGATTTACGACCATGGCCACGCCTTCCTGCGAGCGATGGCCCTGCCCCGCCCACCACAGACCCAGTGACAGCCATGCTAGCTGGAGTAGAGCCTTCCGTGCCCTTCACCTTTGGCATTTTGATCCCTGGGTACGCCACCGAAACTGTCCAGCTCAGCCTCTTCCCTCCTGTTGAGGTCCATGATGCCTTGGAGCTTCTGCAGCAAGAGCGGGATCAGGTCCAGGCCAGGCTTTTTCCGGTGCTTTTGCCTGTTCGGCCCATGCCATCACCGAATTACGGCATCGTTGCGGCCCTACCCTCTTGGACCACCTCCGATGTGTGCTTGTGCCTGGACCTGCAAGAGGTCGACGGGCGGCTCTACACCGATCTTGGTCCGACGGCTGCATCGCATGAGGTCTTGCTTCGGCTAGTTGGGCTACCCGAGAATGCCCCCGTTGACGTGTACCTTGGCGCAAGTGCAGTGCCAATCCAAGCAACGGAAACAGTCGAGCTCGACAATGGGTGCACTCTCTTCTTCACTCCTCAATTTGCTCTTCCAGGCGCATATTTTTTCCTTGAGGACATTTTATTGTCGTCACACGGCTGGCACGAGGATGCATTCATTCCCCAGGGTCCCGACGACCCGGTTCTGTGTGTCGTGACTGACCGCGGCCCACAGCTGGTGTCGTTCCCGGACGAGGCCTCATTTGGAGAAGCCGGCACCATTGCGCGGATGCTTGAGCTGCCTGAGGAACAGTTGGTTCTCCAGCCTGCAGTCCCTCCCGTACGAGACGCTGCCATGAAGGGGCGGCGATGCCGGGGCGTGTTTGGAGCTTCTGGGTGGGTTCCTCGGGATGAGGCCCGATCTGCCTTGGAGCTCGTGCCTCCGGTTCTTGGTCTTGTAGATTGCAGAGCGCTTCTTCAAGGATGGGACCTAATTTCGTCACCACAGGGACGTTTCCCATTTGCTGACTTCTACGATGTCCTGGCGACCTTTACCCCACCGCACTGGGAGCTGTATTTGGAAAGAGCAATCCAACAGGAGCATATGCTACAGTACTTCCCTGGTGCTGTTATCTATGCCTCCTACATGCCCTTGCGCACAGTCGACCCTGCGACTTCATCCGGTGAGGACGTTGCACATGACATGCACGTTTCTGATCGTGATGACAACAGTTCCGCACATGATGAGTCCCAGCCTGAGCCCGGGGTGACGGCAAGAGCTAGGTCTGAGTCTGCATCTGACACTGACGCGGACATGTCTGACGCGGGGCTTGCAAGCCGCCACTCGCCTCGAGAGGAGGAGGTGAGCCCGGGTCCCTCAAGTGACTCGGATGATAGCCCGGGCTCGGCCGACAGCGATTCTGCTACTTCTTCCGGCGAGACCAGTGAGTTCTCTGCGGTTTTCGTTGTCCTTACTCCAGAATACATCCCGGAGATCATCACCATTGTTGTTCCCGGGCCCTGTTCCTGGAGGTCCGTCCAGAGGAGGGTGCAGGCCGCGCGCCCACCATTGCGTCGAGGACGCTTCCCGGCCTTGCGCCCAGTCGAGCCCCAGCCGGTGCAAGACCATGTGCTGCTCCTGGCGGTGCCAGCTTGGAGCGATGGTGTCTTTGTTGCCATCGACTGCTCGCGCGTGAATGGTACCTTCTTCTCAGTTGCGGCGCGCGCACAAGTCGATCGTGCATACCTACTGGCTGCCGCCGGGTTTCCTCAATCTCCTAGGCCCCATCTCTGATAGTGAGCGGGTCGACCTCTGCACCGGCTACTGCGTTTCCTTCCTGCCGCCTCGCAATGCGGTCCTTGTCGTGTCTGATGTGTGTGACCGCTTGAGGAACCCAACCGGTTGGAACCTTGACTTGCGTCTACCTGTTGCTCCTGGTTTCTGGATTCACGTGCTGACAGACACCGGCCCCGTGCGTCTGCTTGTGCCGCGCGAACGGCGACGCTTCCTTCGACAACATGTCGCTGATTCCATCCAGGTTGATGTGGACAGGCTTTTCTTGCAGGCGGCTAGGCCTCCACTGCGCGACTCCTGTGACCAAGGCATTCTTGCTGACAATGTTTTTGTCGCTACCGCCAACCACACCGATGTGCTCTCTGGCGATCCTCCTGTTGCATATTTCCTTGATGCGAGGCCAATGCTCGCCGGCGTCACTTGGAGTTTTGCTCCTGCAGGCATCCCTGACGAGGCTATGATTCTTGACTTTTGCAGCCCATACTGTCCTCCTGGATATCGGGCAGTCATCTCGGGCGGCCAAAGAGATGCGTCTGGAGTGCTTCGCGTCGGGGCCGGAGAGGTCTTGTGTGTCGATTGTGCACTGACACCGCAGGGGGTCGATGAAGCACGGCCTCATCCGGACCGGCCTTCCGACTCTTCTCCAGGCCCTGACCAACCTGATGATCCCGATAGCTCCTCCAGCGACGATGACCCCTCTCATGGCCGCAGCGTCCGCCGTCGGACCCACAATTTTGCACCTGCCTCTGGTTTCGATCCTGCACCTAACGGAGGGCCAGTCGGCACAAGGTCTGGTGGTTCTTTCACCAAGCCTTGCCGGGCACACCGCTCTGCGGGGCGATGCAAGGTTCTAGGTCTTAGTGGGGGTAGTGTTTGCTTCCTTTCAACGCTTCGTTGGGTCCTTGGGTTCCTTGTTCTCCAGGATGGAGAAGGCATGCAATGCCGAAGTGTTGGACCACAGCCTGCTTCGGGTTGGGAGCCCCACGTGATTGGTCGAGATGGCATGTGGCAGCCGAGTTCTCATGTTGACGCCCGTCCTCCCAGCCCTCGTCTCCCACCTCTGTACTCCCAAGCCGTGGGCCAGCCCCCCGTGCTCAGACATCCCCTCCCCGCACAACAGCATTGTTGCTCCCTAAGGTTGCATCCGCGAGCGCAGACAATGGCGGCAGGCCTGTTCCTACTCCGTGCCGTGCTCATGTCCCTCACTCCGGTTTTGTCTCGGATCTTCCCAATCCTGATCTTGTTGGAGAGCATCAATTCCTCCGGGAAGCACCTATCGGGCCCACTCTTCTTGAAGAAGCGTGCCAGCGCTGCCAGGGATCCGTCGGACATCCCCTTTGGGAAGCCGCCACCCTCCTTGAGACTTTGCTGGATCACTCCTCAGGGGTTGAACTGCCTACTCAACAGGACTTGCCCGCCCCCAGAGCTGATACAGCGAGCCCGCACAGGCGTCATGTGTCCCTTGTCGACGAATTGCCCGTCACTCCTCACCAACAACTTGCTTTGCAGTTGCTCGACATCATGCCACAGCCCGGCAATCGTTGCACCTTGGACGACCTCTGCGATTGGCTTGACAACGACTTACGGTCGCTGCTAAGCGATCCCCGTGTGCCAGTTGAGAAGCGTGCCCTGTTCCAGCGCATCCCTCTTTGGCATCGCCGTGGATCGTCCACTGGCCCCCCGTGCACTGGACTGCGGGTTTACACTGATGGATCTGCTGACTCGGGAGCCCCTGATTGTATTGCCCCGGGAGCTTGGGCTTTCTCCGTTTGGGTTGTCGCCGATAGAGAGTATCTGTTCGGGCATGCTGCCGGCCTTGCTGCCCGTCCTGGAGATACGGCCTTTCTTGGCGAACCTGACGACAGTGCTCTGTCGTGCGAGCAGCTCGCCATTGCCTGGGCCCTTGTGTGGGTTATTCAGTTTGGGGAGTCACTCGGATTCTCCGTTGAGTTGAGGTATGATTGCCAGGCCGCCGGGAAGGGTGCCTTCGGCGCTTCTCTGCCCCCTAAGGTTGGAGCACAGAGAACCCCCTCCGAGTTGTCTGACTTCGTGTGCTACTTGCGTCAGACTGCCGCAAACCGGATCGCGGTCTCACACTCCCATGTCCCTGCGCACTCCGGACACACAGCGAATGAGTTATGCGACGAGCTCGCCAAACAGGCTCGACGCAACAGCGCTTCTTGCACAGGAGATCTTCTCCCGACCTGGCCAGGGCTCCTCTTTCTGCACCCGTACAAGGCATGGAGCTGGCTGCCTCCCAGCGGTACCAGCGATCTCCCTACGCTATACAGCTTTGAAGCTGAGGCGCGGCGCATGCAATGCCTCAACCTTGTAGGGCAGATGAGCCCATCTCTGGGGAGGCAAGCCTCGCCTGCTCGAACGGGTACTGTGCAGGTTAAGGCCAAGTTTGTCACCGCCAACGTCCTGACTTTACTGGACCCCCGCAGTAGGGCGCAAGCTCCTTCTGCACAGTCGCACGCCGGGATGCGGGTTATAGCAAAGAAGGAAGTGTTAAAGAGGCAGTTCCTCCAGGCCGGTGTCCTCCTCGCTGGACTGCAGGAGACCCGTCTGCAGCAAAGCTCGATTATGCCTGACGCCCATTTCGTTATGTTGCATGCGGGTGCAAGTGACAACGGCCACTTCGGTGTTGCCTTGTGGGCTAATACCACCGTCCCATATGCTGAGGGTAATGGACGGTCGTGGTATTTTCAGCGGCAGCACTTTACAGTGTCAGAAGCCACCCCCAGGCTCTTGGTGGTTCAAATCAGCACTCCCATTCTGCAATGGACGGTTGTCGTTGCTCACGGTATTTCTGACCTTACTGGTGCTTCCAGTGCTGCGGCATCTTTCTGGACACATTGCCTTGCTGTCCTCGAGCGACGTCCAAAGTTTTCGGACGTGATCATCCTGACGGACGCCAACGCTCACTTAGGGGCCACTCCTTCAGAGTCCGTTGGCGACCATGACGGAGAGGATGAAAACCCCGCGGGCACAGGTTTCCACGAGTTTCTCGCGAGAGCTTCATTGTGGTTGCCTTCTACCTTCAGTGTCTGCCACACTGGCCCTAGCCACACTTGGTTGGGTCCAGGTGGCACACTCCATAGGTTAGATTTCGTAGGGGTTCCCCTCCACTGGCACTGTGACAGCATGCGCACGCACGTGTGGTATGACTTTGAGCAGCTCCAGACCAAGGACGACCACTATCCCGTTGTTGCTGTTGCTGAGTTTGCGTGCCGACCCCGGGCGTCTGGCCCTGCTGCCTTTCATCGCCTTGCCGTTCGGCCTCCTCTTGATGCCGTCCCTCCTGAAAGTTATTTCTGCAATCTTGCTGTTGCGGCAGCCAGCCCTCAAGCCACTTGGCAGGCCCCTGTTGATGTCCACTATGCCCACGTTGCCCAAGCCTGGACAACTGCCGGCCGCGCACTCTGTCCACACCAAGTACGGCAACCTTGCCAGACTTATCTTTCGGTGGATACCTTGCAGCTTGTCACCTGGCGCAAAGCCTGGCGCAATCATCTTAGGACTGTGCGCCGCCAGCGCAACAACCGTCTGTTGGCTTGCGGGTTTCTCAGCTGGCGTTGCTTCTCTCGTGGCGAGCTGTACACAGATGCCCAGGCATGGGCTCTTCTCGCGTGGCTTCGCGGACTCGATGTCGATATTGCTCAGGCCTCGCGGATTGTCTCCGACTTGGGTTTCCGCATCAAACAGGCCACGCGGGACGACAGGAATCGCTACCTTGAAGGTCTTGTCCAGGCTGTGACCCTTTCTGACCTCCGTGATCCAAAGGCCCTCTTCTCGCGCGTACGCCGCGCATTTCCTCAGTCACGATCGGCAAGGCGCCCCGTCTTCCAGCCGCTCCCTGCTGTGCAGAAAGCCAATGGAGAGCTCGCCTGTAGTCTTGATGAACGACATGAGTGCTGGCGCTCCCATTTTGCCGAGCAAGAAGCCGGGGAGGTCATTCCGGATGCCTCCTACCCTGCCGCTCTTCGAGCCCAGAAAGCGGTTGGTCACAGGTCCGACACTGTCTTCGAGCTCGCTTGCGTCCCTACTCTTGCTGGCATTGAGCGGTCCGTGTGTGGTCTTCCGGCCGGCAAGGCCGCGGGCTTTGACGGGATAACGGGCGAACTCATGAGGGCTCACGCCCCGTCATCCGCGCGCCTCCTTGTGGCGGTGTATACAAAGTCTGCTCTTGGACTTTATGAACCCATTGAATTTCGAGGGGGAGCTCTGCTTCCATTGGCGAAGCGTGCTGCTTCATCACTGACGTGCGATAAATTCAGGAGTATCCTTGTGTCAAGCCTACCCGGGAAGGTCCTGCACCAACAGCTCCGACGCCAGTTGTTGCACCCTCTTGAGCGGGCCAAGACCGAGCTTCAGGCCGGGGCCATGCCCGGCGTGTCGACTGAGGCAATTGCCATGACCGCCCGAGTGTTCAGAGACATTGTCAAGAGACGGGGTCTGCCGCATGCCCTGACGTTTTTCGACATCAAGGCCGCATACTACCGTGTGTTGCGGCAAGTACTCACCCAGGTCGGCGACACCGAGCGTGCTCTCCGACGGCTCTTCTCAGATTTGGGCATTCCCTCTTCGGCTCTACAGGAGCTTGTTGACAAACTCTTGGGGGTTGGGGCACTTGGAGATGCCGATACCCCTGAACACCTTCAACGGATGCTTGCTGACGCTCTTCAGGGGACCTGGTTTCGGGTCGACCAAAGTGCGGTGCTTACGCTAACGCACCGTGGAGTGCGGCCCGGCGATTGCTTGGCTGACGTGCTGTTCGCATTCACATTCAGCGCATACATGACTGCCGCTGAACATCGGCTCCATTCTCTTGGTCTCTCCACTGCGACTCCACAGGCCTCTGGCACGGCTTTGGAGTGCTTCCCTGATCCGCCCAGTGTTTTGGGTTGTGCTTCTTGGGCGGACGACTTTGTGCAGATGACTGTCGCTGAGAACCGTCCCAGCCTTGTGCCAAGAGTCATTCGGATTGTAGGCGTTTTCCTCGAACAGGCAGAGGTCGCAGGCATTCAGTTGACTTTTGCTTGCGATAAGACGGCTACCCTCCTGGAGGACTCGGGGTTCGGGGACCCGCTCGTCCAGACGGACGACGAGGGACCATATCTTGAGATCCGTAGCAGTGTTACTGGCACGGTTGCACGGCTGCCTATCGTGCCTGCATATCGTCATCTTGGTGGCATCATCACAGCCTCGGGGACGCCGGCACCGGAGATTAACTACAGGCATTCGTTGGCTGCCGGTGTCATCCGTCCTCTTCGGACACGCTTGTTTGCCTCTCCGACGATTCCTCTCCGGACCAGGTTGCATCTCCTGAAGTCACTTGCGATTTCTCGGTTTGCATTTGGCAGCGCGGCTATTCTCATGTGTGCCGCCCTTCATGGCCGCCTTTGGTACAAGTACTACATCAGCATTTGGCGCTCCATTTGGAAGCGGGGCAAAGGAGAGCCTACCATGCACTCGTACGAAGTGCTTCGGCGCGCGGGGGCCCCGAGCCCTCCACTCGCTTTGGCACTTTCGCGTGCTGTTTTTATCAGGCAACTCGTCCGTTCCGGACCCTCTACTTTGCTGCACCTGCTCCGGGTCCAGTGGTGTTGTGCTCCTGAGTCTTCTTGGTTGGGGCAGCTCGAACGTGATGTCGAACATGTTGCCCTCTTCCTCCCGGAACTCCGGGACCTGCTTCCCGCACGGCGGCGATTGGAGTCGTTGCTTGAGGCCATTACCGATGCACCCAACTGGTGGGTAAGCAAGGTCAAACAGGCCGGTGCTGTCTTCCAGAAAGATCTTGAGCGCTGGAGGAAGGCCAAGGATGATGCTGGCGAGGCCCCGTCAGTTCGCCCTTCAGCTGCACTGCTCGCGAGTTCCAGCGAGGAACCCGAGCTTTTCTCCTGCTCATGGTGCCCTGCCAAGTTTACATTGCGCAAACATCTCGGGGCGCATCTTGCGAAGTCCCACGGCATCTTTTCCCCTGCTCGCCACCTGGCTTTTGGCACGAGCTGCATCAGCTGCCTGAAATGTTACCATTCAGTTGCGCGTGTCCAGGCGCACCTGAAAAGTTCAGACCGGTGCTTGCGTCGTTCCTGCCTGTTGGCTCCGCCGCTTTCCGTTCCCGACATCCGGAATGTCGAGGACGAGGAGACCAAGGCCCGCAAACGGCTTAAGCACGGACAGTGGAGTGCGTATTCCCCGACCCTGCCTGCCTGTCAGGGTTTCGGGCCGGCCAACCTGACTGCGGACGAGAGGCTGGCAGCGTGCGGAGAAGACCTGGAATTGTCAGTCCTCTCTCGGCTCTACCGGCCTTCGCCCACCTTCCTTGCCTGGATTGATGCCTTTATCGACGGTCGTTCGCACGAGGGTCCGAGGTGCGGGGCGGCTTCCTTCTGGCACTCCAGGCCGACGTTTCACCCGAATTCGACTTGCTAGGGACGCGCTGCTTGCGGCACAGAAGTCCATCGAAGAAGAAGAATACTGGTTTGGAGGCGTTGGGATCAAACCTGCAGGTGAGATAGGTATCGCCCGACCCCAGTGTCCGGCAGGACACGAATTTCGCCATACCCCGACCATCTCCGGTGTGGCATCGCAGGGTCAGAGCACGTCGCTCTAAGCTGCGCAGAAAGCTTTGGAGAGCCCGAATCTTCGGTGAGCCTCCCCTTACAACTGTCCCGGCTGCTTTGTCAGGGCACCACTCTCAGCCCCGATACCTCGAGGACCGTTCGACATCCTCGGTCTCGATGGGAAGGAAATGGCATCGCGGACAGCAGTGGGACCGCGACACCGACTATGTGTCCACCGACTATGGAGGATCCTACCACTTGTGGGGTGGGGCGTACTCGGCATCGCCGAAGGCTGCCCCGAAGGCCAAGTCTCGGTTGCGCTACGATCAGACCGTTGTGCCGGACCGTCCTGCGAAACCAGCCCTGCCTTCGGAGGAGGACTCTCTGGCGATTGTGGCTGGTGGCAATGGGCCCCTGTCACAAGCGATCCAGAAGGCACTCACCATGGCCAAGAAGTCAGATGGCCGTGTCCGCAAGCTTCGCAAGGACATTGCTACCCGAAGGGCTCAGTTCGACCAGTTCGGTCGCGAGCTGAAGGCATCCTACGCGGCCGAGCAACGACGCTTCGATGCCGATGTGCAGCGTTTGGAGGAAGAGGTGCAAGCGGCTGCACAGTCTGGCCAGCAGGCAGCTCGGGCCGTGCAACATCTTGTTCTGCATGGTGTCCAGGAGCAGAAGGACGAGGACGAGGAAGCAGCAGCGGATGCGGCCTGGAATCAGCTCATGGCGGCCCCGGCCCCCGAGGAAGAGCCGCCTTCCCAGTTCTTGGCGGATGCCATGGCAGCTGTACGCTCTGTACATGTGCTGCCTGACTGCGCCAGCGTCTGCGCCCTCCGCCAATCCGCGACAGGAGATCCCGGGCACGGGCTCAGGACTCATTGCTACAGGGGCTGTGGATGCCCACAGTGCCCCCAACTATGCGACCGAGCCAGTGGGTGCGCCGTTCGCTCACTCACTGGCTGCCCCGCGGGACCGGCAGTGGCGCCTGTGGCAGTCACTCCGGAAGGACGTCGACCTGCTGGAAAGCCTCGGACACCGATCAAGGCCCACACCAAGCCTACACATCCACCGTCGGGCGGCCCGCAGCTTGGGGCAGAAACTGGAAGAGAAGCGCGAGGCAGCGCTGCATGGTCAGTCTGCTACGCCCGGTGCCACGGAAGCCGACGTTTCCAGCCATGGTCCCCAGGGTGCGACAGGCCTGCCAGCACAGGTAATCAACGACGACGACGAGGATCTCCACGACATGTCGTAACACTGCCTTCTCGGCACTGGCTCGGAAAGGGGCCACTACCCCGTGCATTCGACGGCACTCTGGGACTTGGACGCCTGGAGGTCCCGCGCTCGCTCAGGCTACTGTGGTTCGTAGCTTGGCGAATGCTGACGACCCTCGGGCAAGTCCCTTCCAGAGCTGCCGCTTCGGATGGATGCGGGAGTGATGTTCTGTTTGGCCGGCCTTGGAAGCCTCCCGATCCTTCGACCCCAGAGAGTGATTGTGCCGACAGCTGTCCTGATCTGGTCCTTGCACTTTGGGTCCTGGTTGCCTTGCCTGATTCCTCGATTCCTGTCGCTTGGATTTGGTCATCCTCGGCACTGTTCTGGGCCAATTGGATTTCCGGTCTCAGAACTCTGTGCCCTCGCCTCGCCCAGCCGTCCGGCTGTGGCTTCGATGCACAGGACTCCCCCAATAGGACCCTAGGGTTTAGGCCCTCCCTTGTCGGTTGCGCTTGGGTTGACTTTGGGGTTTATAAGTGTAGTGGCGCCAGTTTCAAGGGCTGCCTTGCACCATGCCTTTCCGACTGCCTCCCAGTTCCCTCACCATCGGTACAGGTGCCAAACAGTCGGATCGGTGGCTCTGGGCCGTCGACCTCGTACCATGGTGAAAGAAGCTCTGGTCTAAACGACGGCCGGCCTCAGATTGCGCAGCTCCATGGACTCCTCCTTTCTGCGTTGAGTTCTTCCCTTCATTCCCTCGCCAGCCACATACTGCCAATCTGCCACAGCATCTGTGCAATCTTGCAACTGGGTTTGCTGAAGCTCTTGGGACGTGCCTTGCCACGACGATTCCAGGCTCTTCGCCGTGCACTTCGATTTCTTACTCTGGGTGTGCCTGGCTCTGTAGTCCTGCCCTTGGGCTACATCGGTGTCGGTGGATTCCGGAAAACCCAAGGTCCCAGCCGCTCGGCACGCGTCGGCAGTGTGGTCCCTATCCCACCCGTGCCTTGCCAGCACAGTGGACAGGCTTCCGGCCCTGCCTCCGGTGTTTCGTGGTGGCCCACTCAGTTTTGGCTTGCTGCAGCGGTGGCGTCTAGCAACGACCGTGTTCCAGACCCACTGCTTGCCACGGCTCCTGCTGCTCTGTGCATCGAGACAGTTGCATTGGGGCAACAACGCCACAGCCCTAGGTGTTGCAAGCTCGACCAGGAGCCGCCTTCACACACACCACAGCAGCGCGCTGATCTCGAAAGGCTCCGTGCAGTTGAGCTACATGATTTACGACCATGGCCACGCCTTCCTGCGAGCGATGGCCCTGCCCCGCCCACCACAGACCCAGTGACAGCCATGCTAGCTGGAGTAGAGCCTTCCGTGCCCTTCACCTTTGGCATTTTGATCCCTGGGTACGCCACCGAAACTGTCCAGCTCAGCCTCTTCCCTCCTGTTGAGGTCCATGATGCTTTGGAGCTTCTGCAGCAAGAGCGGGATCAGGTCCAGGCCAGGCTTTTTCCGGTGCTTTTGCCTGTTCGGCCCATGCCATCACCGAATTACGGCATCGTTGCGGCCCTACCCTCTTGGACCACCTCCGATGTGTGCTTGTGCCTGGACCTGCAAGAGGTCGACGGGCGGCTCTACACCGATCTTGGTCCGACGGCTGCATCGCGTGAGGTCTTGCTTCGGCTAGTTGGGCTACCCGAGAATGCCCCCGTTGACGTGTACCTTGGCGCAAGTGCAGTGCCAATCCAAGCAACGGAAACAGTCGAGCTCGACAATGGGTGCACTCTCTTCTTCACTCCTCAATTTGCTCTTCCAGGCGCATATTTTTTCCTTGAGGACATTTTATTGTCGTCACACGGCTGGCACGAGGATGCATTCATTCCCCAGGGTCCCGACGACCCGGTTCTGTGTGTCGTGACTGACCGCGGCCCACAGCTGGTGTCGTTCCCGGACGAGGCCTCATTTGGAGAAGCCGGCACCATTGAGCGGATGCTTGAGCTGCCTGAGGAACAGTTGGTTCTCCAGCCTGCAGTCCCTCCCGTACGAGACGCTGCCATGAAGGGGCGGCGATGCCGGGGCGTGTTTGGAGCTTCTGGGTGGGTTCCTCGGGATGAGGCCCGATCTGCCTTGGAGCTCGTGCCTCCGGTTCTTGGTCTTGTAGATTGCAGAGCGCTTCTTCAAGGATGGGACCTAATTTCGTCACCACAGGGACGTTTCCCATTTGCTGACTTCTACGATGTCCTGGCGACCTTTACCCCACCGCACTGGGAGCTGTATTTGGAAAGAGCAATCCAACAGGAGCATATGCTACAGTACTTCCCTGGTGCTGTTATCTATGCCTCCTACATGCCCTTGCGCACAGTCGACCCTGCGACTTCATCCGGTGAGGACGTTGCACATGACATGCACGTTTCTGATCGTGATGACAACAGTTCCGCACATGATGAGTCCCAGCCTGAGCCCGGGGTGACGGCAAGAGCTAGGTCTGAGTCTGCATCTGACACTGACGCGGACATGTCTGACGCGGGGCTTGCAAGCCGCCACTCGCCTCGAGAGGAGGAGGTGAGCCCGGGTCCCTCAAGTGACTCGGATGATAGCCCGGGCTCGGCCGACAGCGATTCTGCTACTTCTTCCGGCGAGACCAGTGAGTTCTCTGCGGTTTTCGTTGTCCTTACTCCAGAATACATCCCGGAGATCATCACCATTGTTGTTCCCGGGCCCTGTTCCTGGAGGTCCGTCCAGAGGAGGGTGCAGGCCGCGCGCCCACCATTGCGTCGAGGACGCTTCCCGGCCTTGCGCCCAGTCGAGCCCCAGCCGGTGCAAGACCATGTGCTGCTCCTGGCGGTGCCAGCTTGGAGCGATGGTGTCTTTGTTGCCATCGACTGCTCGCGCGTGAATGGTACCTTCTTCTCAGTTGCGGCGCGCGCACAAGTCGATCGTGCATACCTACTGGCTGCCGCCGGGTTTCCTCCCAGCTCCGATCTTGAGGTTTATGTGCACAATCTCCTAGGCCCCATCTCTGATAGTGAGCGGGTCGACCTCTGCACCGGCTACTGCGTTTCCTTCCTGCCGCCTCGCAATGCGGTCCTTGTCGTGTCTGATGTGTGTGACCGCTTGAGGAACCCAACCGGTTGGAACCTTGACTTGCGTCTACCTGTTGCTCCTGGTTTCTGGATTCACGTGCTGACAGACACCGGCCCCGTGCGTCTGCTTGTGCCGCGCGAACGGCGACGCTTCCTTCGACAACATGTCGCTGATTCCATCCAGGTTGATGTGGACAGGCTTTTCTTGCAGGCGGCTAGGCCTCCACTGCGCGACTCCTGTGACCAAGGCATTCTTGCTGACAATGTTTTTGTCGCTACCGCCAACCACACCGATGTGCTCTCTGGCGATCCTCCTGTTGCATATTTCCTTGATGCGAGGCCAATGCTCGCCGGCGTCACTTGGAGTTTTGCTCCTGCAGGCATCCCTGACGAGGCTATGATTCTTGACTTTTGCAGCCCATACTGTCCTCCTGGATATCGGGCAGTCATCTCGGGCGGCCAAAGAGATGCGTCTGGAGTGCTTCGCGTCGGGGCCGGAGAGGTCTTGTGTGTCGATTGTGCACTGACACCGCAGGGGGTCGATGAAGCACGGCCTCATCCGGACCGGCCTTCCGACTCTTCTCCAGGCCCTGACCAACCTGATGATCCCGATAGCTCCTCCAGCGACGATGACCCCTCTCATGGCCGCAGCGTCCGCCGTCGGACCCACAATTTTGCACCTGCCTCTGGTTTCGATCCTGCACCTAACGGAGGGCCAGTCGGCACAAGGTCTGGTGGTTCTTTCACCAAGCCTTGCCGGGCACACCGCTCTGCGGGGCGATGCAAGGTTCTAGGTCTTAGTGGGGGTAGTGTTTGCTTCCTTTCAACGCTTCGTTGGGTCCTTGGGTTCCTTGTTCTCCAGGATGGAGAAGGCATGCAATGCCGAAGTGTTGGACCACAGCCTGCTTCGGGTTGGGAGCCCCACGTGATTGGTCGAGATGGCATGTGGCAGCCGAGTTCTCATGTTGACGCCCGTCCTCCCGGGCCCTCGTCTCCCACCTCTGTACTCCCAAGCCGTGGGCCAGCCCCCCGTGCTCAGACATCCCCTCCCCGCACAACAGCATTGTTGCTCCCTAAGGTTGCATCCGCGAGCGCAGACAATGGCGGCAGGCCTGTTCCTACTCCGTGCCGTGCTCATGTCCCTCACTCCGGTTTTGTCTCGGATCTTCCCAATCCTGATCTTGTTGGAGAGCATCAATTCCTCCGGGAAGCACCTATCGGGCCCACTCTTCTTGAAGAAGCGTGCCAGCGCTGCCAGGGATCCGTCGGACATCCCCTTTGGGAAGCCGCCACCCTCCTTGAGACTTTGCTGGATCACTTCTCAGGGGTTGAACTGCCTACTCAACAGGACTTGCCCGCCCCCAGAGCTGATACAGCGAGCCCGCACAGGCGTCATGTGTCCCTTGTCGACGAATTGCCCGTCACTCCTCACCAACAACTTGCTTTGCAGTTGCTCGACATCATGCCACAGCCCGGCAATCGTTGCACCTTGGACGACCTCTGCGATTGGCTTGACAACGACTTACGGTCGCTGCTAAGCGATCCCCGTGTGCCAGTTGAGAAGCGTGCCCTGTTCCAGCGCATCCCTCTTTGGCATCGCCGTGGATCGTCCACTGGCCCCCCGTGCACTGGACTGCGGGTTTACACTGATGGATCTGCTGACTCGGGAGCCCCTGATTGTATTGCCCCGGGAGCTTGGGCTTTCTCCGTTTGGGTTGTCGCCGATAGAGAGTATCTGTTCGGGCATGCTGCCGGCCTTGCTGCCCGTCCTGGAGATACGGCCTTTCTTGGAGAACCTGACGACAGTGCTCTGTCGTGCGAGCAGCTCGCCATTGCCTGGGCCCTTGTGTGGGTTATTCAGTTTGGGGAGTCACTCGGATTCTCCGTTGAGTTGAGGTATGATTGCCAGGCCGCCGGGAAGGGTGCCTTCGGCGCTTCTCTGCCCCCTAAGGTTGGAGCACAGAGAACCCCCTCCGAGTTGTCTGACTTCGTGTGCTACTTGCGTCAGACTGCCGCAAACCGGATCGCGGTCTCACACTCCCATGTCCCTGCGCACTCCGGACACACAGCGAATGAGTTATGCGACGAGCTCGCCAAACAGGCTCGACGCAACAGCGCTTCTTGCACAGGAGATCTTCTCCCGACCTGGCCAGGGCTCCTCTTTCTGCACCCGTACAAGGCATGGAGCTGGCTGCCTCCCAGCGGTACCAGCGATCTCCCTACGCTATACAGCTTTGAAGCTGAGGCGCGGCGCATGCAATGCCTCAACCTTGTAAGGGCAGATGAGCCCATCTCTGGGGAGGCAAGCCTCGCCTGCTCGAACGGGTACTGTGCAGGTTAAGGCCAAGTTTGTCACCGCCAACGTCCTGACTTTACTGGACCCCCGCAGTAGGGCGCAAGCTCCTTCTGCACAGTCGCACGCCGGGATGCGGGTTATAGCAAAGAAGGAAGTGTTAAAGAGGCAGTTCCTCCAGGCCGGTGTCCTCCTCGCTGGACTGCAGGAGACCCGTCTGCAGCAAAGCTCGATTATGCCTGACGCCCATTTCGTTATGTTGCATGCGGGTGCAAGTGACAACGGCCACTTCGGTGTTGCCTTGTGGGCTAATACCACCGTCCCATATGCTGAGGGTAATGGACGGTCGTGGTATTTTCAGCGGCAGCACTTTACAGTGTCAGAAGCCACCCCCAGGCTCTTGGTGGTTCAAATCAGCACTCCCATTCTGCAATGGACGGTTGTCGTTGCTCACGGTATTTCTGACCTTACTGGTGCTTCCAGTGCTGCGGCATCTTTCTGGACACATTGCCTTGCTGTCCTCGAGCGACGTCCAAAGTTTTCGGACGTGATCATCCTGACGGACGCCAACGCTCACTTAGGGGCCACTCCTTCAGAGTCCGTTGGCGACCATGACGGAGAGGATGAAAACCCCGCGGGCACAGGTTTCCACGAGTTTCTCGCGAGAGCTTCATTGTGGTTGCCTTCTACCTTCAGTGTCTGCCACACTGGCCCTAGCCACACTTGGTTGGGTCCAGGTGGCACACTCCATAGGTTAGATTTCGTAGGGGTTCCCCTCCACTGGCACTGTGACAGCATGCGCACGCACGTGTGGTATGACTTTGAGCAGCTCCAGACCAAGGACGACCACTATCCCGTTGTTGCTGTTGCTGAGTTTGCGTGCCGACCCCGGGCGTCTGGCCCTGCTGCCTTTCATCGCCTTGCCGTTCGGCCTCCTCTTGATGCCGTCCCTCCTGAAAGTTATTTCTGCAATCTTGCTGTTGCGGCAGCCAGCCCTCAAGCCACTTGGCAGGCCCCTGTTGATGTCCACTATGCCCACGTTGCCCAAGCCTGGACAACTGCCGGCCGCGCACTCTGTCCACACCAAGTACGGCAACCTTGCCAGACTTATCTTTCGGTGGATACCTTGCAGCTTGTCACCTGGCGCAAAGCCTGGCGCAATCATCTTAGGACTGTGCGCCGCCAGCGCAACAACCGTCTGTTGGCTTGCGGGTTTCTCAGCTGGCGTTGCTTCTCTCGTGGCGAGCTGTACACAGATGCCCAGGCATGGGCTCTTCTCGCGTGGCTTCGCGGACTCGATGTCGATATTGCTCAGGCCTCGCGGATTGTCTCCGACTTGGGTTTCCGCATCAAACAGGCCACGCGGGACGACAGGAATCGCTGCCTTGAAGGTCTTGTCCAGGCTGTGACCCTTTCTGACCTCCGTGATCCAAAGGCCCTCTTCTCGCGCGTACGCCGCGCATTTCCTCAGTCACGATCGGCAAGGCGCCCCGTCTTCCAGCCGCTCCCTGCTGTGCAGAAAGCCAATGGAGAGCTCGCCTGTAGTCTTGATGAACGACATGAGTGCTGGCGCTCCCATTTTGCCGAGCAAGAAGCCGGGGAGGTCATTCCGGATGCCTCCTACCCTGCCGCTCTTCGAGCCCAGAAAGCGGTTGGTCACAGGTCCGACACTGTCTTCGAGCTCGCTTGCGTCCCTACTCTTGCTGGCATTGAGCGGTCCGTGTGTGGTCTTCCGGCCGGCAAGGCCGCGGGCTTTGACGGGATAACGGGCGAACTCATGAGGGCTCACGCCCCGTCATCCGCGCGCCTCCTTGTGGCGGTGTATACAAAGTCTGCTCTTGGACTTTATGAACCCATTGAATTTCGAGGGGGAGCTCTGCTTCCATTGGCGAAGCGTGCTGCTTCATCACTGACGTGCGATAAATTCAGGAGTATCCTTGTGTCAAGCCTACCCGGGAAGGTCCTGCACCAACAGCTCCGACGCCAGTTGTTGCACCCTCTTGAGCGGGCCAAGACCGAGCTTCAGGCCGGGGCCATGCCCGGCGTGTCGACTGAGGCAATTGCCATGACCGCCCGAGTGTTCAGAGACATTGTCAAGAGACGGGGTCTGCCGCATGCCCTGACGTTTTTCGACATCAAGGCCGCATACTACCGTGTGTTGCGGCAAGTACTCACCCAGGTCGGCGACACCGAGCGTGCTCTCCGACGGCTCTTCTCAGATTTGGGCATTCCCTCTTCGGCTCTACAGGAGCTTGTTGACAAACTCTTGGGGGTTGGGGCACTTGGAGATGCCGATACCCCTGAACACCTTCAACGGATGCTTGCTGACGCTCTTCAGGGGACCTGGTTTCGGGTCGACCAAAGTGCGGTGCTTACGCTAACGCACCGTGGAGTGCGGCCCGGCGATTGCTTGGCTGACGTGCTGTTCGCATTCACATTCAGCGCATACATGACTGCCGCTGAACATCGGCTCCATTCTCTTGGTCTCTCCACTGCGACTCCACAGGCCTCTGGCACGGCTTTGGAGTGCTTCCCTGATCCGCCCAGTGTTTTGGGTTGTGCTTCTTGGGCGGACGACTTTGTGCAGATGACTGTCGCTGAGAACCGTCCCAGCCTTGTGCCAAGAGTCATTCGGATTGTAGGCGTTTTCCTCGAACAGGCAGAGGTCGCAGGCATTCAGTTGACTTTTGCTTGCGATAAGACGGCTACCCTCCTGGAGGACTCGGGGTTCGGGGACCCGCTCGTCCAGACGGACGACGAGGGACCATATCTTGAGATCCGTAGCAGTGTTACTGGCACGGTTGCACGGCTGCCTATCGTGCCTGCATATCGTCATCTTGGTGGCATCATCACAGCCTCGGGGACGCCGGCACCGGAGATTAACTACAGGCATTCGTTGGCTGCCGGTGTCATCCGTCCTCTTCGGACACGCTTGTTTGCCTCTCCGACGATTCCTCTCCGGACCAGGTTGCATCTCCTGAAGTCACTTGCGATTTCTCGGTTTGCATTTGGCAGCGCGGCTATTCTCATGTGTGCCGCCCTTCATGGCCGCCTTTGGTACAAGTACTACATCAGCATTTGGCGCTCCATTTGGAAGCGGGGCAAAGGAGAGCCTACCATGCACTCGTACGAAGTGCTTCGGCGCGCGGGGGCCCCGAGCCCTCCACTCGCTTTGGCACTTTCGCGTGCTGTTTTTATCAGGCAACTCGTCCGTTCCGGACCCTCTACTTTGCTGCACCTGCTCCGGGTCCAGTGGTGTTGTGCTCCTGAGTCTTCTTGGTTGGGGCAGCTCGAACGTGATGTCGAACATGTTGCCCTCTTCCTCCCGGAACTCCGGGACCTGCTTCCCGCACGGCGGCGATTGGAGTCGTTGCTTGAGGCCATTACCGATGCACCCAACTGGTGGGTAAGCAAGGTCAAACAGGCCGGTGCTGTCTTCCAGAAAGATCTTGAGCGCTGGAGGAAGGCCAAGGATGATGCTGGCGAGGCCCCGTCAGTTCGCCCTTCAGCTGCACTGCTCGCGAGTTCCAGCGAGGAACCCGAGCTTTTCTCCTGCTCATGGTGCCCTGCCAAGTTTACATTGCGCAAACATCTCGGGGCGCATCTTGCGAAGTCCCACGGCATCTTTTCCCCTGCTCGCCACCTGGCTTTTGGCACGAGCTGCATCAGCTGCCTGAAATGTTACCATTCAGTTGCGCGTGTCCAGGCGCACCTGAAAAGTTCAGACCGGTGCTTGCGTCGTTCCTGCCTGTTGGCTCCGCCGCTTTCCGTTCCCGACATCCGGAATGTCGAGGACGAGGAGACCAAGGCCCGCAAACGGCTTAAGCACGGACAGTGGAGTGCGTATTCCCCGACCCTGCCTGCCTGTCAGGGTTTCGGGCCGGCCAACCTGACTGCGGACGAGAGGCTGGCAGCGTGCGGAGAAGACCTGGAATTGTCAGTCCTCTCTCGGCTCTACCGGCCTTCGCCCACCTTCCTTGCCTGGATTGATGCCTTTATCGACGGTCGTTCGCACGAGGGTCCGAGGTGCGGGGCGGCTTCCTTCTGGCACTCCAGGCCGACGTTTCACCCGAATTCGACTTGCTAGGGACGCGCTGCTTGCGGCACAGAAGTCCATCGAAGAAGAAGAATACTGGTTTGGGGGCTCTTTATTATACTTATCTTATAATGGGCCCCAAAACCCGATTCCAATTATTAAGGCCCCTATACTATTGTACCCTTATAGATCCCATATAATATCCCTTTAAGGATCCCTTTAAAGGAACCCCTATACTAATTATTAAGGTCCCTATATTAGCAGCATCCTCGCCTCATACCACAACACAGTTCGCATAGCCTGTGCCTTGAGCTCACAAGCTCGAGGCCTTCAATGGTTTAGGGTATAGGGTTTTTGGGGTTTTTGGTTTAGGGCTTAGGGTTTAAGGTTTTGGGGGTTTCTGGTTTAGTAAGTCTTCAAGCCCCGGGAGCTTCCAAGACAGGTTTGCAGTTTGACTGGTTTTAGGGCTTGTGGGGCTAGGGTCCCTAAACCAAACACTGCGGCGAGCGCCCTGAGGTGCCACCGTAGACCACGGTACATCCCAAACCTCAATGCCGAAAGTGCAAACCCGCAATTCTCCCGGATGTTCTACCCTAAACCCTAAACCCCATACCCTAAACCCTAAACTATCTAGACCCGAAGTCCTAAACCCTAAACCCTGCTAACTCGGTTCAGGGTTCAGGTGTCAGGCTTAGGGCTCAGGGTCTAGCGAGCCCTCATCCCCAGACTCACTCGGCAGGCTTATGGCAAAGGGAAAGCCGACGTGTCTCCCACGGCAGATTTATGACAGATGGGAGATGATGGGTGGGAAATCTAGGGTTTTTTCAGGGTTTCGAATTGGAGTTTGAGGTTCCGGGTTGAGGATTTGACAGGGCTTGGACTGTGTGTGTGTTTGGGTAATGGGTTTAGAAGCAGATTATGGATATTTCCCGTTTCGAGGTCAAGCGATTCTTGCGGACAAAGAGGTTGGACGTAGGTCTGAGAGGGTCAGACTTGGAGCCAAGGCCCCAGGCACAACACCTTCTCGAAGACTGCCTGTTGAAAAGCCCGAGCCTACTTATTTTTGTGGGATCCTTGTAAACCCTAAACCCTAAACCCTAAACCCTCTTTACGTTGCAATCTAAGACGGAGTGCGCACTCAGGCTTCCATCTTATGCCTTTAGCACGCAGACAGCATGTCTTGCCCGTCGTATCAGCAGCCCCGTAGTTTTGGGACACAACATCCACGCAAGAACTTCGCACTTCGCAAAACAAGTGCAGGAGACTGGGTAGTCGCAGCTGCCCACATGATCTGTCTTGAAATGGCCAGGCCATACTACGACAGACAAGATGTAGGCCGCTCCGGCTTGAAGAGCCGAAAGCTGCGATTAGGGATTCGGGTTTAGGGATTAGGGTTTGGGGCTTAGGGATTAGGCTTTCAGAATTAGGGTTTAGGGTTTGGGGATTAGGGTTTAGGGTTCTGGTGGTGGTCAGTGCAGTCGGCAGGTAGTTTTAGCCCAAATTGGGCCGGCAAAGGCATGGTTTACCCCCTGTGTACAGTTACTGCTGATGATTGATTCCCAAGGTTGTATATGAGATTTTCATAACTTCTCTTTCCAGAATAAGTCAAGTAGAAGCAAAAGAGCAGCCGCTGCCGCAGCAAGTGGTAATGGTGGGTGGGCTGGGGGCAGCCTCAACGGTCGCAGTTGTGTCGTCGTCGCCCCTGCTCCATACTCTGCGTCGTCGAAGCCATGGTCTTCGCGTCTTGGTTTGGCGGTTGTTGTTCTCTTGAATGCTGCAGCACTTGTGGTGGTCGCATCATCAGCGCCGTCGACCGTGCCAGAATCAAACTCCTCTTCGTCGTCACGCTCGCCTCGATGTCTCGTCGTCCCCCAGGTCCCTTCCGTCGTCGTCGCCGTTGTAGTCATTCTCGTCGTCGTCGTGGTTGTGGTAACAGCTATCGCGTAAAGTTGTTTTGGGCTCAGCTTGTGAACTCTCAACACTGTTGAGGCGGCCGTGTGCTGGTAGTAGAGTGTCGGCACCACCTAATCCACAAGACCATAGGGACGGCAACATGCATACACTCAATTGCTCCAGGTTCTAACCCCAGGGAGTGGTAAAGAACTCTATCTATAGTAGGCTTCTACTACCCGTGTTGTAGCAGTATTAGTAGCCCTATACACTATCCTTACAATACCCTGTGAGCTTCTTCGTTGCTGGCCCAGAGTGTTCCATTCGCAGGCGATGACATGTTCGGACGACAAGTGCCACCGAACCAAAAGGGAATGCAGGCTCGCGGATTTGTGAACGGGTTCCTTTGGCCTAGGTTTCTGGGGCTTTCGGCCGCACCCGGTCGACCCTGCACCCGAGACCCTACTTGGAGGGCCAGGGGACTTAGTAAGCCGTTTATAAGTAGGGATATAATTGGGGTAACTCCATTTAGGGTACTTTTAACTCTACTTATAACCTACTTACTAAGTCCCCTGCCCCTCCAAGTAAACGCAAACCAAACTGTGATTTATGTGACAGTTCGGCCTTTCGACTCGACAGAGAAGTGTCACCGAAGGTAGCTCGAACACGGGCTTCATTGAATGGCTGTGGTGTGAAGGTGGATGCTTACAGCAGCCCTAAAAAGTAGGAAGCCTTACCATAAGCACCTCGTAGTAAGGTACCACCTGGACCCTGAACCCTAAACCCTAAACCCTAACCCCTAAACCCTAAACCCTGAACCCTGGACCCTGGACCCTAAACCCTCAACCCTGACCCCTAAACCCTAGTCCTAACGAAGCCCCATAACAACGGTTGGCTCAGACCGGAACGCCCTCGAGTCCAACATCTTTAAACAATTTCAGGGTCTAGTCTACGGTTGATGATGTAAATGCTTAAGGACCCTAACCTATCGGAGCTTTGGGCGTGCTTACGGTTGATGATATAAATCCTGCATGACCTTAAGGACCCTGAACTGTGGGAATTATGGTATATTCCGTATTATGGGTAATGCAGGATTTATACCATCAACAGTAGGGTTCAGGGTTTTAGAGCTTGGGGCCCAAACCCGAAAGCCCCAAAGCCCCCAAACGGACGGCTTGACCCTAAACCCTGTGGTTACTGAATGGGCTACGACAAACTATAGTGCCATTAAAGCCTGCCTTCAAGCAAAGGCTTCCAACGGGAGAACTTTCTCTGCAGTCGGAAAGAGGTGCCTTAAACAAATTCAATTCCCTGAACCCCAAACCATCCTAAACCCTGAGTGTTTTAAAACGTAAACCCTAAGCCCCAAGCCCAAAACCCCAAATTCCAGTCTTTCAGCTAAACCCTAAACCCTAAGCCTTAAGCCAGAACCCGGGGACGGCTTTTCAAAACGAGGAACCTAAGGACTAGAGCTTCTCTGCACTCCTTTTCCAGGCGCCACAGGGATCCTGGCCCCGGCTCGGACCTCGGTTTAGGGTTTCGGGCTTAGGGAATTTGAGGGAGTTTAGGGTTGAGGGTTTGGGGTCTAGGGTCCAGGGTTAGGGAACTTGAGGGTTTAGGGCTTGGGGCCTGGGGGGTTTAGGGTCTTCGTGGTTTAGGGTTTAGGGTTTAGGGCACCGGAAGCGAAGAAACGGCGTGCCGCCTGGTAGTGTAGGCGAAGGACAGCCAGTCAAGTAAAGAAGATACTTCTTTGACAAGCTGTATGCAGTGAAGACACCTGCCTTCATGATTGAGTTTCCATTCGAGGGCAGAAAGGCTTGCATGATGCACGATAAATGGTTCCTGAACACACCCTCTCCATTCGCCACCAGTACTACGACAATGCAGATGACTTCCAAGTTTTACTCTGGTGCAATTCGTGCAGGAGTGTAAGCTCACGCACGGCTGGCGTGGGTACTAATGGTATGACAGCAAGGCGCAGCAAGTTAAGAGAGGTTACACGCTTTTGACTGCGCACGGCGACAAAAGTTCCATGAAGAAGTGAACGCCGCTCGCATCTATCGCAGATTGTGCTCTGAAAAAGTTTGTGCAGGAACACGCCAGTTTCACCACCCAGGATCTGGTGATGACTGTGGAGACACATCAGCCAATCAATCGGCCATCCGATGCTTCGCTCTAAACCAGAGGTCAGAACCACAGGGTGCACAACAGCGACAAGAAAATGAGGCCCAAGTGCAGCATCCGAAGCGCAAGCTTGGCACGATACCCTAAACCCTAAACCCCAAACCCTAGATAAATCTGCTGGACCATGCCCCAGATGCCTTGAAGATTGCAGCGGAGCAGTACGATCCTGACTGCGCGGTCATCGACTTCTGCAGCCCTGCTCTTTAGAGTCTTTCTATAAAAACCCGTATAGAGACCCTTATAAGACCCCTTTATGGGAACTCGTGCTTACTAAGTCCCCTGATCCGCCAACTAGGCTGCAGCGCCAGCGGGGGCGCGCCCTCTCTCTTTTGGATGACCTGATCCCTAAACCTTAATGCCCTAAACCCTTAAACCCTAACCGTCAATCCCTGAACCCGAAGGTCTGATTCCTTAAACCCTAAGCCCTACATCCGTAAATCCTTAAACCCTAAACCCTCAACCCCCACATCCTTAAATCCTTAAATTCAACCCCCATGAAACTCTCCCGCCGCGGATCAACGTCCACGGCTCGCTTTGTAGGACGAGGCCTGGGCCTCCCCCGCTGTCTTCTTTCGATGACGGGCCACCGCGGAGAACTGAGCACGGTGTGTGTTGTTGGGGAGCGGGGTAGGTTTAAAGCTTATAGGCATTATGGCTGAAACGTTTTGAGGTTGAAAAGGTTTAGATTTTCGGGTGTTAGAGGTTCTGTTAGAGGTTCGGGCGGTTTTCATGTCAGGCTTTACTCTAGACGATTCGGAGGACACGAAGGTTTCAAGAGTCCTCAACTAGGAGTACCCCAGTGGCTTACTGTACCCTGTCACCCTGTCATCCGTCTGATCAAGTTCCACGGCTGTTTTTCGCCCCGCATTGGGGCAACTGTCCGGTCCCACACACGGGATGCGCGAGGAGCGGTGTACTGCCTGGGATTCTGGCATAGTGCTCGTATGTACCGCGGAATGGCACTCTTTTTCAAGTCC